CAACTCGCACGTGCTCATACAAATAGAGGTCACCCTCTCGATGCAGAGCGATCGAAGCCAATACAGCCCAGAGCTTGACGGCTTCCCCGCGACTTCCAGCGCTCAGCTGGAACCCAGAGCACCCGAAACCCTAAACCCTAAACCGGCCAAAGTGCTTGAAGCCCGACATCTCCAGATCTTCGATCTGTGAACTCCTAGCTGGATTGTGTAATTAAGCTGCATCCGAACATGTAGTCCGACTTGGCTGTGAGGTTCAACCTCCACCCGGAAGCCGTAACGCGTTAAACTTCCGGAACGCTCCCAGACCCTGAACCTCTATCACTTATCCTAAGACTCGAAACAAATACCCCCGAAAACCCTAAACAATGAACCCATGACTCCTAATACTCTAAGTTTTGATGCCAGAAGTTGTTCTCTTCTTTAATCGCGACAGGCGTCACTTGCAAAGCGGATTGGGTGGGAGCCTCTGATGACTTAGGTGCTTTCATTGGAGCCTCTCTGCACTTATCCGTATAGTGACTCTACCGGCCAGTATTACAGCGATGGTCATTCTTCGTGCCTTTATCTCTGTGAGGCTTCAGCCTAACTCGTAATATCGGCAAAGGCAGTACTGCGGACGACCACAAGCACAACTTCGATAGACATTCGGAATCGGAGGAGGGATCGAATCAGATCCCCAACTTTTACCCATAGTCCAAGATCTAGGCTAGGTGGCTCCCAGCAGGTCCCGGCTCCCGAGCACTCCTTTTAACTTTTCGAAAGCAGACTTTTCTTGATTGCCGGACCTACTTCCTTTTATCATGTAGATGTACACCCAGCTTTCTGCTGTCCTAGCTGCCGTGACGCTACCACAATTACTAAGCGGGAGTTTCCGCAATGCGGAATGTTTCAGAGTTTATGGGTTCAGGGCCCCCCCGCAGAATCTGTATAGACCCTGATCCTAAGGACACCCAAACAAAGTGCCGCTAGCATTTCATATGTCCCTAAGTCCCTCAGCCTTGAGCATCTGTGGAAACGTTGTCAGGGTCGGGGGTACGGCAAGACTACAAACCTTGCAAAAGCTCTAGGACTGCATTATTTTGCGGGTATCATATTATGTTCTACTGCTGATGTTCTCTATATTGTTAAACCTTATACTTATTCGACTAAGCACGCAAAAGCGCAATGCAATGACACTGCTCACCAGACGCGCCTGGCAGATGGAACGGTGCAGGCGCATTACAGCAATAGTCTTCATGACTGTAGTCCTTGCATGGGATTGCTGCTGGCAATACCTAGACACTCAAAAGCAGGTAAAATAATGGCCCAAAACCTATAAAAGGCTATTATTCTACATACTTTTGGGGTCCAGGTAATCGATTTCAGGTGATGATAAACATGTTACAAAATCACATGCAGACTTTGCTGAGACAGTGGTTTCAGCGTTGATAGTTGGGCTCCTCAGGTACTCGCAAACAGGATCAATACAAGAGCTTGGGAACTGCCCCCACTCAGCAAATTCATGATTTTGATTTCTTCGCATTTCAATGGTAGCCCTATAATAAAAGACTGTTACTGCACGGCGGCAGTACCCAAACAAGAGCTCTGCCAGCGAAAGGTCTTTGGATGCCCTCGAGTCGACGCTGGAAAGCCTTCCTTGTGCTATCAAGGGAGGCGCGGAAGGGTGGGGAGTCGGGGCCTAAAGTAAAAGCCAGAAAGTTGGAATATGATTTTCCTAAACCCTTTATGGTAAATTATAAGGTATCCTACCCTGAAACCATATTTCAAGTTTCTGGAGTTCCCCTTTTCTTCTTCCTCTGTTTGAGGTTTTTAGTGTTTGGGGCCTGCTGGTTTGGGGCCAGTGGGTCCCGGATTTTCCAAAGTCCCTCCAAGATCTTCAAGAAAGCTAGAACAGCTTAAAGGGGACTCCAGAAAGTTGGAACATGGTTTCAGGGTAGGATACCCTATAATTTACCATAAAACGTTTAGGATAATCCTTTCCCAACTTTCTGGCTTTTACTTTAGAAGCCCTCACGCTTCTTTGTCTCTGTCGGATCCCGAACCCAGATGTGTCACAGTCGCCAGAGTGGAGGCTCCCCAGAAGCCAAATCTTAGCACAAACTGGCCTGTGTGCCGACCGAGGCAGGGCCACCCAAGTTTAGCATTAACTCCCAACTCCTACTCTAAGCTATTCTGCTTTGCTTTCACGATCCTTCTTTGGCGACCGTTGTTCTGAGATCCCAAGATGACGGCTTTGGCAGTCTCCTGCGAGAGCTCGGTCGAAGGAGTGCGCATGACCACCACTACTGGTCCTGCAATCATGACCCAGGACTATAGGGTTGATCTGATTTAGGTGCGGTTTGTTTTAACTACGGTTGTGTGTTTTTTGCGAGGGGCAGGCGCGGAGGAGGCGGGCGCTCTTGCGAGTTTACGATGTGTTGCAGTAAGGATTCCTTCGTGAGTTCGAGAGAGCAAGTACGTCCCACGTGTCACCCGTTCTAAAGCCGTGTTCGTGATTCGGGGCTTGTTAGATTTCTGTTGTTCGACAATCCGTCCCTCTTGGGCTCGACTATGCGATTTTTGCACCGGTTTTGTTTCTCATGTTCAGGTCTGAGGTTTCTCCGACGCTCTTGGATCATGCCTGGCGCATGGCTTTAGCGTATCACAGTGTTTCATCGTCCTTGTTATTGTTGATCCTCCATTCTGGTTTCACGCTGGTTTACAGCTGTGTGTGGATGGGTGTTCAGGGCTGTACTCGCTCGGAACCCTTATTTTAGGGCTCTTAGGGTTCCTTTAAAGGGATCTATAAGGGTTTAGGGTTTAGGGTTTAGGGAGGGACCCTTAATGGGGACACCTTCTCTTCAAATCGAGGTTGGGGGCTGCCGGGCTGCAGGTTCATTTCGAAGGATTTAGCGAACAGAAGCGGACCTGAACCCAAAGAACCAGAATCCCCCGTTGATTCTGTGCTCAGTGCTCATCATCAGTGATCTATGCCGGTTGTCTGTCTTTGAAGCTCCCCGTCCTGCATTGGAGGCCCAGAAAGCGGGCACCCGAATCTTGACCTTAGTCCCTACATCCAAAACCCTAGTTTCAAAACTGGCTCCTTTATGAAGCCGTCTTGAGTAGCTGTCAAATCAAACACACCCAACTCTCTACACACACAACCTCTCAACTTTAAATCCCTAGGGTTTGAAGCACTCAGCCTAAACGTGCTAAGCCATAAGATCCCTATGAGACCTTTGCCCGAAGGGTCCAGGTGCTAAAGGAATTAGGAACAATCCCGAGTACACACCTACAACAACACCTACAAACTCATGATTATCATAGGGATCCTTAGGGGTGTAGGGTGAGAGGGGGGGGGGTAGGGGGCCTTAAGGCCCATAATAAGGACTAATAAGGCCTATTTACGGAAATATAGTCCCCTACACCCCTCCCCCCTACACCCCTAAGGATCCCTATGAGATTAGGTCCTTGGAACCCTTGAACTCCAAGGCCCTAAGGCCTATATCCCCCTAAGCCATAGCCATGAAAACCCTTCAAAGCCCTCTAAAGGGAACTCCAGAAAGTTGGAATATGGATTAATGGTAGGATCCCCTATAATTTACCTTAAAGGGATTACGATAATGATATTCCAACTTTCTGGCTTCTACTGTAGATGCTCTCAGACGAGGAGCATGTACCACATCAAAATTCGAGGCAGGAGTCGGCTTTTCTGGAATTCATGCCTTGGGGCAGAAAAAGGGTTTTCAGATAGAGTTGCATAGGGTGTTCAAGAGTTGCGGAAGGGCCTTGTAAGGGTAGTCAGGGGGTCTGAATAGTTGGTAGTATCATACAAGTAGAACCTACTTTTGTGTGTGAAGACGAAGTGAAGGCTGTAAAGTAGTATGTCTTTGGGCTACCTGCAGACGCTGGGATCATGCATGACTCCACGCTTTTGCTTGAGCGCTGGGCTTTCGGGTGGCCAATATAGGGGCCTTAATAATTAGAGTAGGATTTCAAATTTCAGGACCCCTGATACTATACTTGTAACAAGGAACCCCCAAAATAGTATAGGTAACTATTTAGGCCCCTGTAGTAGCTTGAGTCGTGGGTCGAGGATAGGGCTTGCTAGTGTCAGTTTCAAAGGTTAAGGTCTCGAAGGGTGCAAGGAGTCTCAACCTAGGCTCTCAGATCTAAAGAAATACCCAAACCTCCGCGCACTAAGTTTGGCATTTGCAAGGTTTAGAGTAATCAAGTCAAGGGTATAAGGTTGAGGGTTCGAGGTTTGGTAAGTGAAGGGTTGCAGACTTCGGCTTTGTCAGTTTCATGATTGAGGCTTCAGTTGTTGGGCTTGCAGGTGCTTGGGGCTTGGCACTGAGGCATTTGGATGGTTGTGTCAAATTTAGGGTCCCTTTTGGGGTACCCTAAATATTAGGTGCCGTACTATATTAGGGACCCAAAAGGGGACCATAATTTTGACAACCACCCATTTGTTGTTGCATTTTGCTAGTCTGTACGGGGTGGCAGGAGCGTTTCTGAATACACATTCTTCAACCCTGGGACATCTTCACCTCAGCCTTGGATAGGTGTCTGGATACAGGTCTGTCTGGATAGAAAGGTTTGTTGAAGGCCAGGTCATCCTAAATGACTGCCAATGCCAGTATCATTCGTTAGGGTTCCTTACCATCAAACTTATACTATATAGGAGCCCAGCACCCACCGTAGCACTTGACTGATTGAGGGATTAGGCCTTAGGGGTTGTGAGGATTCAACTACGCTTCTATTGCCGTGCCCCTCATGTTGACACCTCATAATATCTGCCTTTAAGAAGACACTTAAGCTGATGCTGCCTGATCCTTCTCCGTAGGATTATGTAAGGGTTTCAGGACCTCGTCAGTATTCGAGCACGGTTTACGAGATTTCGCGAAGCATGAGCTGAATGTCAGACCTTGCCGCAGCTTCTATGCATGCGTAGTCGCCCTGTTTTCCGGAGAACAAAAACCCTCTTCACTTCAAGTGAAAAGAATACACGCTGAGTATTCATGATGCTCGGCTCCTCGGAATGCAGAAAGTTGGGCCTCAGCGTGTCAAAATTCAGGTCTGTAGGTGCAGTTGAGGGACACACTTCTGGTGCTTCTGCTTTGAACACTTGATTGATGAATGCGGATACGGCTGCTATGAAAGGTGGGATGAAGGCAGGTAGGAGTCAGAATCCCTTACATAAGGGCCATTTTCTGGGTTTGCCCTTCGTAGTTCATTGCGCATTTGGAGTTATGTGAGATTCTCATGATCCCTAAACCCTAAACCCTGAACCCTACACCCTAAACCGGTGGCGGCAGCAGAGCTCCAGGACACTGATCATCAGCCCCAAGCCCGACACCCCAAGCCCCGAAAATGTGTTCAGAAAACCTCATAACCCCCGAATTTAAGACGATGCCACAAGGATCATAATATGTAGACTCTTGCAGCATTCCTTATCTAAGAGGTATTGAGGCGAACGCGTGAGCCCCGAGTCCGCATCAACTGGCGGAAAAGTTAGAAACCTGTCATCCATAAGGGAATGCCTTTAGTCAGTCCATGAACCACAGATGCACATACATTTACCCACCATATGCATAAATGCAGAGACAATATCACACAAACACACACACACACACACCCGCAAACATATTCGCATGTACATACACACACATAGATGGACGTATACTGGTACGTGTTCATTACTTCCCAAACCTACGTCTTCCAAGCAACTGTCGCCATATCCCTAAACATGTAGGTTCTGTAGGGTCTGGGTATATACTGCAGTGTACAGAGACCTTCCAGCCTTCGCAATGCGAGTTTAGGCGTTCCATCCCTCAGGTTAGGGTTTAGGGTTTAGGGTTTAGGGTTCATCCCTCAGGTTTGGAAGAAGTCCCTGCCACAAAGCTGTACCACATGCCGCTACTCGGGCCAGAAATAACTCCCAGGGTGGGAATGTTGGGGTTCTAATATAGAAGCCTCTAAATAATTATACCATTATATACTATTTTGGGGGGCTCATTATCATGAATATAATGCAATGGGCCCCAAAACCCTATTCTAATTATAAAGGCACCTATATGATATATCAGGAGGTTTGATCCGGCCACACCGGGCCCGAATGCAGAACCTTGAAAAGTAGGGAGAGACCTTCATTACGAGCATCCCTAAGTGAGGTACCAAAACGCTTTCCTGACTGCTGCCCTCCCCTATAAGGGCATCGTATCTAGAGGTCTTAGGATTTTAGGGTTTAGGGTTTTAGGGTTTAGGGTTTTAGGGTTTAGGGTTTAGGGTTTAGGGTTTTAGGGTTTTAGGGTTTAGGGTTTTAGGGTTTTAGGGTTTTAGGGTTTAGGGTTTAGGGTTTTAGGGTTTAGGGTTTTAGTTAGGGTTTAGGGTTTAGGGTTTTAGGCTTTGGGAGCTCGGGGGATTTAACTTGAGAGTTATCGTAGTCATAATACGGGTCCATAGTACATGATATCTGTCACAATATCGTTTCCTCCTTCTGGTAGCTTACCATGAACTCTATAGAGCCTTAGCAAGAACCCGGTTTCTGAGGCTCCAAAATACCGGGGGGTGTTCGGATGCTCAGGGTCTAGCTTCCTGGCAGGTGACGTGGACGACTAAGTAGCCCTTCGGAGCACTTCCGTAGTGTACGCTTGTGGAGGATCTCGGTATGCACTTTCAGAGGAGTTCGGCAGCCTCATGCTGCATTGGAAGAGTAATGTTGACACTGTAGATGGATGCACGTAGTATGTATGTCTGTTGGGATGCCAACATGTTTGGTCTGCTGATAGCAGGCCTAAAATACAGAGAGGCAATGTTGCTTTTCTTCAAAGTTCACTTTTGTGATCCACGGCTTCACGGTTCTGGGGTTTAGGAATTGGGTGAAGAACTTGCGATACTGCAGTTCCACATTGCTTACAGAGCCTTCTCTCCTAAACCTTTAATCCCCCAAAGCCCAAAAACTACGGATCTATCGGAACTGGGACTCCTAAACCAACCCTGAACCCCTAAACCTTTCACCCCCAAAAGCCCCAAAAACTACAGATCTATCACCATCCCAATTCTCTGAATCCTAGACTCCTAAACCCCTAAACCCCCAAAACCCCTAAACCCCCAAAAGCCCAAAAAACTAAACCCTTAACCCTAAACCCCTAAACCCGAAACCCTAAACCCCCAAACCCCCAAACCTCTAAACCCTAAACCCTAAACATGCTGACGGAAAAAGGTGCTTAAACAAAAAAACCCTAAACCCCTAAACCCCCCAAAGCCCCAAAAACCCACGGGATCTGGAAGAGTTGAGGCCCTACGCGGACTCCGGCACCTTTGGATTTGTGGACGAACAGAACGATCCTTGTCTAGGATGCTCAGTAGTACCCTTATTAGGGGTACCTAAGGGTTCCTTAAGGGGATCTATAAGGGTTCTATAAAGGGTTTAGGGTTTCCGAAAATTAGGGACTAGGATGCCCAGTAGTACCCTTATTCCCTTTTTGTAGTCCTAGGCTCCTTATAAAGTTACCCAATACCAAAAAGAGAGGCCTTTTTATTCCTAGGTTACTGGGTATCCTAGTTGTCAAAAGCTGCGCCTCGGTCAAGACTGGGCTTTAGGGCCTTTGGGTTTAGGGTTTAGGGTTTAAGGTTTCATGGGGTTTAGGGTTTCGGGTTTAACAAGGTTTCTTTATGATGTGTTATAGTTTAGGATTTACGGTTTAGGATTCAAGGTTTATAAGGGTTAAGGCTTCAGGCTTCGGGGTTTGGGGTTGTTTCTGGTTTCGGCGTCGATCAGGATGCCACGAAACGCGGGAGACTTCGTCTCTTTACTCTCAACGCTGTCTTCGTAGTAGAGTTGAACTTTTTTTGGTTTTGGGGTACTGTAAGGGTTCTACTAGGGGTACCTAGTAGTAGAGTAGATACATCCCTGAGGTTAACCCTGGGATCTTAGTAGTAGAATCTTAAACCTTCAACCTATTTGGTGCTATGAAGGTACTACAAGGGCTACCTGCTAAGTAGGTAACATTCAACTTGTTTGAATTACTGTATTAAACCCCTATATAATCCCAAAGCTTAGCTTTTAGTTTCCCTGGGATAGCGGACAAGTAAGGCTATAATCCAAAACATAGATCTCGAGTCGTCTGTACGAAGTGAAGCAAAGTTGGATTTCGGATGTCGAGTTTAGCCGACTTCGAGGGTTTAAGGTTAAGGGTTTAGGGTTCAGGGCTTAGGGTTTAGGGTTGAGGGTTTAAAGGTTTAGGGTTTAGGGTTGAAGGTTTCGGGTTGCCACCTGGCACTTTAGGAACTCTCCACCTTCATGAAGGGCTATTGGTTCGAGGCATTGGGCATGCTCTGCCGTTTACGTGCTCCGAAACTGGTGACAACCGTAGGGATTTACTGGAGAGTCCGAGATGTCTTCTTGAACGAGAAGGTTTATGTTTAGGGCACAGGCTTTAGTTCCCAGCTCCAAAGACCATGCATACCAGCTGGAGCATACCTTGCTTCGCGGACACCCATTCGAAGTGCAACGAACCCAAGCTCAACCTCTGTGCAAGAGTGTAGCATTTCAAGCAACTTCTCCTGAACCCTAGACTCTGAAATTTCCACGCCCAGTGCACCAAGGGTGCTGTCTCGAATCTTCAGGAAGATGCCAGCCACTCCTCGGATATCAAAGGGGAAAAGGAGGGACCCTTAATGGGGACCCCTACCCGACAATAGGCTATATAATGGGTATACAATAATAGCTATATTAAGGGTATATACCTAGGGGTCCTTATTAAGGGTCCTTCCTTTTACCCTTGGAGTATAGAGAGTTTCTGTTGCCAGCTTCGGCTTCCAAGGCATAGGAACACTAAACACTAACTTGGCTGCAAGCGGAAAAGGAGCCCTATAGAAAGCTTCGAAGGAGCCCCGAAGAGTCAGATACTGTAGGGACCTAAATTAATTACCTATACTTTTGTTTTTGTTTGGGGTGGGGGGGAGGTCCTGTTGTTTCAGATGCTCCAAACCCGATTCTAAGCATTAAGGCCCCTGTAGTAGCGTCCTCGAAGTTAGAATCCAAAGCCTCGCAGGCCTCGGGAACCGATAACTAATTCTCATTCCTCGGATGTTGGAGCCTTTATGATAACGGGGTTTGGGCGGTATAGGGTTTAGGGCTTAGGGTAAAGTCAGACTCAATTAGAATATCTCTGAAGTGGAATAGCCGCCACTCCTGAATCTCCCGCCCGAAACCCTCAACGCTGAACCTGAAAACGCAGCCCCCGCCCCCCTCGCGCGACAATTGTGGGCTTGGGCAGTTGGAGGAATTTGTTGGAAGTTGAGTTCATGAGGTTAAGAACCACCATGTCACCATGAACTACCGCCCCGGTGATTTCTACTCTCGGGTTCACAATATATAAGAGCCTACACAATGTTTCGGCTCTGGTAGTTGAAGGCAGGGTCAAGGAGCTGAGCTTGGCGCTTTGTGTTTGGTCAGGGAGTCCGGGAGAGACACAGCTCCATGCCCGTCCGGTATGCATCTAGGCATCAGAAACAGAAGCAGCACCCCTAAAATCGTAGCGACGTTGACGACATGTTACGACCACGACAATGCGGCAGTGGCAGCAGAAAAAAATGCCCTTGCAATGTTAAGCGATGACAGGAGATGCCGAAGCCGCATACCCCGGTCATCCCATCTGCATGTCAACCGTAAACCCCAGACCCTTGCACCCTTAAACCTAAGCCCCAGGACCCGAAATCCTAACCCCAAGGATCCTAAAGGCCAAACCATCCTGAACCCAAGGATCCTGAACCCAAGGATCCTGAACCCAAGGATCCTAAAGCCTAAAGCATGGACCCGGGTTTAGGGTTTAGGGTTTAGGGTATGCGCCGCAAGCCGATCTTAGATGCTGCCCTAGTGAGGCTACTACGCACCAGCAAATCATGAAGCAAACTCGACGCTTTTGACCCTCGGCCTTATATGGGCGGGACTCTGGGAAATTGTATAGTGTATACAAGCCTGACTAATTCATGAGACTTATAGCATACCCCCCAAAGCCCATTCTGATTGTTAAGACCTCTACTGTGGAAGCCAGTAAGTTGGAATATCATTATCGTAATCCCTTTAAGGCAAAATTATAAGGTATCCTACCCTGAATCCATATTCCAACTTTCTGGAGTTCGCTTTATAGTATTAGACCGCATCAGCAAGGACCGGCAAGCCGGAGGGTTGATATAGGAGTCAACAGCACCAGCCACAACAGTAAAAGCATCCGAGGCGTCATCCTAATCAACACCCTCATGATGCTGATGGAACCAGTGTGTTTGGTCAGACATCCTCCCAAAGAGCCCGATAATTACACCTTTCAGGAATATCTGTTGGGTTATTGGGGGCTGAATACCCGGATGGCTCCATGATGGAATAAGGGCACAACAACCGTAATAGGGATGGTCGTTTTGGATCTTGCTTCCATACTAGTAGTAAACATGGGATGTTTCCGAGAAAAGGGACCCCGAAGAGAAAATGTGCCCCCCCCCCCCGCAAAAAAAAAGATCCTTATTACGCACAAGGACCCCGAAATAAGGTACCCCTAGTTTTCGGAAACTGCAATATGGAGCCTCCAGGACATCACACTAACAAGACATCCATGCTAGGAGCACTTGGGAGTACTCCTCGCATCGGACATTTGCGATGACTGTTTAGCAAACCCGAAGCACTAAAGCCCGTGCTAAGAGCCGTTATGAGCTAGTATTTTTAGGTTCAGGGGTTAGGGTTCAGGGGTTTAGGGTTTAGGGTTTGTTGGGGTCAGTATTGATGATGACTGCTCAGTATTCCCTATTATGACCTATCATCTTGCGGCCGTAGCTCATATTGAATCTGAAATTATTGTTAATGTGGATGAACTGTCAGTGTAGCCGTCAACCCAGCCTCAGGCGTCTTTTGATCCTTCGTAAGAAGCTCATGACTCGGGCCTTGCACCACAAGGGAAAGCAGCTGGCTTCAGGAAAGCTTGAAAAGCAAGCTGCCTGAACAGCTATAGACCATAGCCTGAAAGCCTCAACTCAGGTCACAAAGTATAAAAGCCTCCTCTTCGACGGCTGAAGCCTGGCTCAACGGCACGGCGGATGTCCCCAAGAAGAGTGAGGCAGCGCAGGGTTTGTCCTACATCCTGAACCCCAAGCTGCCCTTAACCAAGCTCCAGTCAGATTGGCGATCGAGCTGCTATCTCTCCCCCCACTACAGGTGTGGGTGAGTGCGGTTGCTGAGAAAGGCTTATGTCTCGTTTCATTTCGGTGTACACGTGGGCGTTGCCATGAAGAAGTTCCACGTGGGTCCGCGAAAATAAGAGCAAGCACGTCACGACGACCCCCAACTATCTCCCACCCCTAACCCGAAAAAGCTTTAGCCTGGAACCCCGAAAGGACCCTAAACCCTAAACCCTCGGTTGAGGAAGCTCTTCTCGAAGTTCTTCGGGACCGACGTCATAGCCCGAAAACCCTCAGCCCCAAACGTCGGAGGCTTCACAAGGTGAGATGAAGGTAGGTGGGATTAAGGCTTCCTTATATAAGGACTCTTATTTGGAAATATCCCACCTACCTTCATCCTACCTTTTGAGGCCCCCAAACGTCGGAGGTTTCCCCAAGCTGCCAAATCGGGGTTTTGGGGGTCTAGGGTTCAGAGGCGCTGAGGGTTTAAAGGGGTTGGGGATTTAGGGTTGTAGGGTTTTGGTCTTAGCCTCAAATGACAAAGCCCTTAGCAGAGCCTTACAATCCTAAAGCCCTGCACTCCCAAAGCCTTGAAGCTCTACTTGGCGGGCAGTTCCTGGCAGTAGCAGGTATGGTACAGTAGATGGTTTTAGGGTTCAAAGAGATTCAAAGGTTCGAAGCGGCTCCAAGAACAGCGCAGGATTTTCTTTTTGCGGTCCAGGGTTGTGAGCCCCAGAACCAGGTGACCCTGAACCCTACCACTGACTAAACCCCCGAAAACCCCGAACCCCTAAACCTTAAACCCTACTAAACCACAAGTGCACGAGCCCCAGGTGGCTGTGGGCAACCCTCAGCGCAATCAGACGCAAGCGATGGCAGGCTCCTGTATATAAGCCTTTCCAGGGAGTCTGAATAATATTGAGCATATACATCAACACGGTTATTGTTAATGTTATTGTTGCCAGCATTAGTTGCACATACTGTTATGAAGTAGTACCATTATTGTTCTTAGTAGTGTACTATGTTTTATGATTCCTTATTAGTCTGACGAGAGTTTGCAATATTACCACTAATACTAAGTGTCATTAACATGCCTATTGCTATCACTGTTGTTTTTGCTACTATAGTTTTGTTGTTGGTATTGCTACTGTTGCTGTTATTGTTGCGACTCCCTTGTAGTCTTTACAAGGCGATAAGGAAGTCTCATTAGTATGTAGTATGCAGTATTCCCTCATAGTCACTAGAAGGTTACAGGCAGTAAACCCCGACAGCGTATACGAGTTCTTGCATCCCAAGGCTTCTCCTTAAGTTCAACATCCCGAAGCTTCAACCTTTGGATGGGCCAACTGTGTTGTGTCTTCCTGGCTGAGATGCCCCGGCTACCAAGTAGTCCAGCATGCTGCTGAACATGATTCAAGGCATGGGTCGGAATAATGAGTCTTGCTATTCCTGAGGGCGCGTTATGAGACGTGTATTACAATATGGCCCAACACCCTCCCCTAATTAGTATAAGGCCCCTAGAGTACGGCAGTTCCTTCTTGCGTGAACCTGGTTTTTTCCCAATAGGCCCTTAAGATGTCGCCTAAACCTCAGAGCCGGAGCGTTGCAAATCCACTACCCAAGCACTAGCAAGTCTCGCGGGCCTTCAAACCCAAAGTGTCCTAAGTCTATATATAGTACCTGTGGTCTCCTTTGCAGTTCCCTTTTTTGGTTAACCATAAAACTGGTTAACCAAAAAAGGAACTACAATGGAGACTATAGGTAGAATGTGGAGTTGCTAAAGTCAGAATTGCTATTATGATTTGGGCTAGGACTAGGACCCTTTGTGAATGGTTGCCAGTTGCCTATCTCCCGACCTACACATCACCACTGACTCCACTCACAAGGAGTTCTGTGTTCCGATTGATCTACCCAAACCCCCCATCCACTTATGCAAGGGTTTCTGGTCCAAGGTGCGTATTTTGGGGTGACGGGCTGTCGAGTTCTCGTGGCCAGGGCGGATTGCCTTGCTCGCAACTTCACCGAATGGGCCAGTCAGCTACGCACCGCTGCCAATAGAAGGCTCGCCTGTTCACGAGCCGTCGGTCACTGCGTCGGTTTTGGGTTTTAGAGTCTGGATAGGGTTTAGGATTTAAGAGTTCGGGGTTTTGGTCTCCAAGCTCGGACCTCAGAACTCGTAAACCGGCGAAATCCAGAGAGCATGATACCCAGTAGTTGAGGATGATACAATAAATCAGCTGAGGTTGGCACGTGGAAGCGGCCTGTTTCATAGATTTGATCATGTCGCGAGGGGAGCATGATTGTCACATCACGCCTTTGTCCTGTAATTTGGTCAAACCAGGTACATGCTGTCCTTCCAAGCACAAAAATCAATCTGGACCTATCTCCGGCTCTCTCTCTCGTCTCTCTCTCTCTCTCTCTCTCTCTCTCTCTCTCTCTCTCTCTCTCTCTCTCTCTCTCTCTCTCTCTCTCTCTCTCTCTCTCTCTCTTCTCTCTCTCTCTCTCTCTCTCTCTCGCTCTCTCTCTCTCTCTCTCTCTCTCTCTCTCTCTCTCTCTCTCTCTCTCTCTCGCTCTCTCTCTCTCTCTCTCTCTGTGTGTGTGTGTGTGGATGTGTGTATTTCTGCATGCATGCATATATGCAAGTCTAACACTAGCCAGCTATAAGCTGCGTTTTTGCTTCATTGTTTAATTCCGTTTGTCTGTCCGTGTCTATGAATGCATGCATGCATGCATGCATGCATGAATGCATGCACACACTCTCTCTCACACGCTTATATAGACAGACAGTGAGACTGACAGAAAGACAGAGAGACAGAAAGCGAGACAGAAAGAGAGACAGAGAGACATAGAGGGAGAGAGACGGATGGTGTTTGGGAGTTCAATTTGGTCAGTCATGTAATCGATTGCAAAAAAATACCAGAGCATATACAAATATAGTATCATCTACTCTTCTCTCTCTCACACATATGTACATATCCATGCTACTTACTTGTATACGCATACAAACGTACTATATTGCTTACTTGCTTAGTGACTGGCTTACTTGCTGATTGACTTGCCCAAAGTCAGTGGGTTCAAAAACCTATAACTTGATCGTTGTCTTCAGAATTTCGGCCCTGAGGTTAGATCCAAAAGCAACCCGGCTGTCCAGGCCCACACCCTAAACCGTAAGAAGGCAAGGGAAGCACAAGTGGGAGAGTTGCGATCTCCCAGCTAGAAGCCGGCTTTGGGCCAGGTTCGAATCTCGTTGCGCCTCCAGCAACTGGGGCCGCCGTTCAGCTATAGGGTCGGTATCGGGTTTAGGGTTTAGGGTTGTGATAGAGGAGCGTTAATATCTAGAATAGGAGTTGATAGAGGAGCGTTAATATCTAGAATAGGGTTTCGGGGTATGTTATAGGAATAAAAATCATATAAGCGACCCCGAAAGGAACAAGATTGGTAGTTTTGGTAATAAGCATGCAGCCCCCCCCCCCCCCGATTATGATGTTTCTACAATGCCACGTTAAGCACTGAAGCTTCGATAGAGCACAAAAAGCTTTCCTGTGCAACAAGGGTAACCATTCGTGTTCAAGTCTGGGGGCGCATCGATGCGTGCATTGAGCCAGGATTGTCATGCCATGTAGGAATATGAGTTCGAGCCCTAATCGGTTTGGAGATATCAGATGTACAAAGAATGTGGGCCGGATGGGGACAGAGTGGCCGTGGAAAACGCGTGGAAAGCTCGGTGACTTCCACAAGGCACTTTGAAGCTAAACCCTAAACCCACAACCCAAAGCCCTAAACCCTAAACCCTAACCTCTTTGCTCCAAACCCGGCACCATGTGCCCATCCTTGAAGTTGTTCTATGGACACTCAGACCCACAAATAAGTACCTCAATTGTGGTTATCAGTAGTGATAAGTAGAGTTACCCTAATAATAACCTTAGCTACTAAGTCCCATGATCCTTCACGGACCCCAAATTCGTGACATTAGAAGAATCAGAAAGGTAATATTGATAGGGAAGCATGGAAGGCAACATCGTTTTGTTAAAGGTGTTCCTGCCCGACTGTGCAGCATGCTGTATATTGAGGCCTAGGAGCTTGCACTCTTGAGCGAAGGATCCAACCTGGATCAAGGGAACTTCCACAGACGATGGTTGCTCCGCTTCTAGCCTCCTGAGGTCCTGGCTTGCTGCGCCTGCCTGTGACATTGCTAAGAAGCTGTCAGAGAAGTCCGACTTCTCGTTTGATGAAATGATGAAGACGATGAGCCCCTCCGAGCTGACGTCTTTGAAGAAGTATCTTGACCACGGCAAGGCACGGCTTGAAGACAAGTGCTTCAAGATTGCCGAGTTCTCTTCCGACTACAAGGCGATTTCGGTTCTTATCAACAAGTTGGAAATGGTGGCAGACCACTACAAGGAGCAGATGTTCAACTCAATGCTTGAGACAACTGTACACCCAGTGACACCGGATTGTACAGTCTGCACACGAAAGGCAGAAATCTAATGATATCAATCAAGTTGACAAACAACAGCAAGGGAGATAAGCATTTTTCTAATCATTACCAGCATCAAGGGCACCTATGGCAACACATACCACAAGGGTTACACTAGTTGTCCCAACGAACAGTGGTGATGTTGAGAAGAGGTGTTGCAAGTAGCTTCGCGCCAATGGATGTGGGACGCACCTGAAGTCATGAAGACACAAGTTGCACTCAAGACTCCAAACCCTTGAAACCCCAAACTAAAACCCCAGAACGCCTTAACCCTAGCTAAACCCTAAGTGCAGCAATACTGATGCCTTTTCGCACTAGCATGCAAAAGGGATATTCAACACGAGTAAAAATTCCTGAGTAACAATGTTTGAGCACCTTCCCTGAGTCCATGTGCACAGGCGTTTGTGGTTTAGGTTAGGGCCCCAGGCCTCAAACTCACAACCCATGGCCTTAACCCCGAAACTCTAAACCCTAGAAACCCTGCAAGAGCTGTAGGATCCTATAAATAGGGGACCCTAACACAGTACCCTAAAAATAGTAGGATCCTTATTATAAGGACCCCAAAGTAAGGTACCCCTAATTTTCGCAAGCTCCCTTGTATACCCCACCCCCGGACTCTTCCCTAAACCCTCAAGCCTAGATAAATCCCAGAAACACCCCCAAGTCAAAACCCTATCTACACCCTAAAACCTCAACCCCTATAAACTCTTCCTGAAAGCCAATGCAGGGACTTATAGAAAGCAACTCATATTCAGGAACCGTAGAACAGCAGGGTTTCTGAGGGTCCCGCTAGACCCTAAACCCTCAACCCTAAGCCCTATATACCTTAAGCCCTAAACCCTAAACCCCGTGCCCTATACCCTAAGCCCTAAACCCTAAACCCTAAGCCCTAAACCCTAAGCCCTAAGCCCTGTATACTCTATACCCTGAGCCCTGCTCTGATTCCAAGGGGCTGCCGAAGTCGAAAGGTTCGAACAAGGCCCGGACGTGGCTCGGCTTCATTCATAACTTAGTGGTACTTAGAAACAGTTTTTATTTTTTGTAACCCTAAACCCTAAATCCTAAACCCTAACGCCCTAAACTTTTTTTTCTTTAAATTTTTGGTGTTTATAATCCCTAAGAAACAGCTAGAATTATAATTGTTGCTCGGGTTCTAAGTTCAGTAAAAGATAAACTCGGCTCCCGGTATCAGGGTTCCCTTAAAAAGGGTATTAGTATAAGGGTTCCTTTAAGGGATTTCGAGGGTTTAGGGGTTAGAGGTTTTGGGGTTTTGGGGTTTAGGATTTTGGGGGTTTAGGGTTTTGGGGTTTAGGGTTTTGGGGTTTAGGGTTTTGGGGTTTAGGGTTTGGGGGTTTGGGTTCAGGGTTTTGGGGTTTAGGGTTTAGGGGTTTAGGGTTTCGGGGTTTAGGGTTTCAGGGTCCAAGGTTTGGGGCTTAGGGTTTGGAGGTAGGGTTGATAAACTCCTGAGATCCTATGATTCATCATGAAGTAAGGGGGTTGACCCTAAACCCTAAACCGTAACGGGGTCTAGAAAAGTTACTGCCAAGGTGGTTGCGGGCCCGAGACCCTAAGGCCTGAACTGATGGCTACCGTTCAAGTGCAAACGACAATCCAAAAGCGCAATGGCTGCCGTTGGCATCGGGGCTCTCGTTGAGTCTCACACAAGGTTCGGCGGTCAGATCCCTGGCACTTCAACTGCCCTCAGTGCTGCGACTTCCGCGTTCAGGGGCACTGTCGAAGATGAGGGCGATGGGCTCCCCTCCCTCTCTCACCTCAACAGGCGGTCGGGCTCGCGATGATCCCAACAAATCCCTGATCCCGGCCCTACCCGCCAAAATCAAGCTGGTCAGCAGGGGAGACGGCGGCGATGATCTCCTTGAAGATATCGAAGACGCTGAGCTTCCTATCGAGGCCTTCATGGTCGATCACGCCCGCAAGCTTTTGGACGACTATGGTTCAAGCAGGGACCTCTACGAGATGGTCAGAATTCTCCGCAAAGAGAGATGAAGCCCGCATGATAAGCGGCATGGCTGCCCGGCCGCCATTCCCAACCCTAAACATCCCTAAACCCGTAATACCGTAATCCCCGCCAAAGACTAAAGCCTAAGCCCTAAACCCCGACGCCTATACATCCTAAAACGGGAGCTCTAGGGCTTTCCAGAGGGTGGAGCTAGGCCCGTGGTGTCTGCAACTCTGGTGTTTCGGGTTTAGGACTTTGGGCTGTTGGGCTAAATCCTGAACGTTTGGGGGGGGGGCGGGGGGGTTCATTGCACAAGGCGCCCTGAGGGACGAGCTGCTGACACAGTAGCTCCTGGAGCACCAAAGGAGTTTCCCTTTCCCATTACTGGGCTTATGTTGGGTTTGGAGTGTAGGGTTTGGAGTTCTGGCTTCGGACGTCGTGACCGTAAGGCTCATACTCATACCTCAGATCTTGAAATCGACATTTCAGACGACTCCATATATAGACCCTGTAAAGTCAGATCCTTACCAAGAAGACCCTTGAAACCAGGACAACTATTCTGTAGAAGCCCAACAATGCGAATTATCCTCCGCCATACCGGAAACCCCAAAACACCTCGTAATATGCCTTTACGCCTGAACCCTCTGACCCGAAGTAAACTGTGCCCCGATCTGCAAAGCCTTGACCATACGCCCCATAAGTCCTGAACCTCGCCAAGCAATCTTCGGCCTCACCCCTAAACCCTAAACCCTGAAGAACTTCTCCAAATTACGGCGCAAACAGCTACGGGCTAAGGCCGCTTCCACCGCCACCGCCGCCGCCGCAACCACCGCAATTGCCGAACACTCCTTACAAACAGCTGCAAGCAATACCAACGATCGCGAGCCACCCTCACGTGGAGGCTGCCCCTGTCGTCACGAGAGGTTTCTTTTAGGGCTGTGGGGGTATAGGATTCGGATTTCTGATTTGATTTTGTTGCTGCGTCCTGTCGGTGCTAAATGTATGTCCCAGGGCTTAAGTTTTTGGGCTTATGATCCTGAGATGCCATGTTCTGCTCCAAGGCGGAAAAATCCAGATTTCAGTCCAAATTTCATTGAGCTCTACGCCGTCCGGAAATCTAATCTAGGTTGGCCCTCTAATGCTGGCTAAAACATTCGTGAATAAGATCCCCGTAGGCCCAACAAGGGAATACATAAAGTGTCCCAAAGGGCGACCTCGTAATTCGCGGTCTTACTAGCCAATTTCAATTCTGTGATTTGACGGTTATCGTTTCGAGCCAGTTTCAGCACTTTATGGCTGTTTTGTTGTGCGTTTGCTATCGTGCAACTGCTCCTGTATTTTGCGCATCTTACCCCAGCGGTTGTATAGCAAACAGTTTTCATACTTCGAACCCGAACCCGAACACGCTGCTCTGTAAACTTTCGCTTGGCAACCCGAAACAAAACCTAAACCCCACAAAAATACATATACACATACACTCTAAAACCGTAAACCCCACAAAATATGTGTGTGTGTGTGTGTTTATACATTTATATATATATATATATATATATAATACACGAGCCCTTTAACTCCTTGAAGCTTGTCAACCCTAGAAAGCACTGCCTTCGGTGGCAGGTCATTTCCCCGCAGCCTCCGGTGAATCAATTTCATGATCTTTTGAGGCCAGTGCCAGTGGCCCGCGACTGGATTGAATTGCGAAAACCTGGATACGGTTTAGGGTTTAGGGAGACCTGGATCTAGGGTTTGGTGCAAGGTTGTCTCTATTATATGTAGGATCCTACTGCTTGGGGTCTGTACTGGGGTCTTTGTTTTCCGAGGCTGTGATAGCCAGAACATCTCCAATGCCAAGACAAGGCCTAGGAAAGGGGCCTGACATGTTTGACCAGAGCTTGCAAAAATGGTGCGTGTCATATTGTAGACGCACCCCAAGGAGCAGTATGACAAATCCTCTAGGCTTCTATACTCTTACAAAGACCCAAACTGTCCCGAGCAGAATCGCCTGAGCTCAATGACTCGAAACCCTGAACCCAGACCCTAGCACATCTGAAAAACCAACGAAGCTCAAATACTTAAGTGGCCTAAACCTTACAGAATCTAGATCCCGAAACCCCAGCACCCGCACCCCCTTCCTGGCATAGCCGAAATCTGAACTGAGGCGATGACTTAGCAGCTCAGAAACGTATCAACAAGGACAGCGAGCCCGCATCCATCCGGGTTTCCGTCGTGTACGCGGGCTCCGAAGTATCCAAAATTGGCCAATATTGGCGTCCAGGGCCGTGTCTGCGGGTAGCTCTAAGGCAATAGGGTTTCGAGCCTCTTTCGGACGTTTTGTCACATTCCTGCAGACAGCGCGGAGTCGCACACCCTGTCTTGCCAGTGACTGTATACTACGGTTCTGAAGTGTTCGAGAGGAGAGCGATACCCTAAGCATGTGTTCACTTTACGTTACATGCTTTACAAGCCCTCACCGCGAGATGTCCCGGGTTATGTTCGATGCCAGGTGATTGCGGACGTTCAATTTGTGGGTATTTCCAACAATGGGGGACCTAATCTAGTACCTAGTACCCTTAATAGAAGGATCCTTATTACAAGGACACCAAGAATAAGGTACCTCTCCTTTTCGGAATCTTCCATCTCGACTCCTTCGACCTCCTAAGTCTCTGGAAGCCTAGCTACATGCGACAACACTGCACTCGATACAAAACCATACACTCCACTCTATACAAAACCCGAACCCCAAACTAAACTAGACCCCCCCAAACCCAATCTGGAGCCTGAGCCCGATGAACCCATACCCTAGCCCCTAAACCCTAAACCTCCAAACCCCTAAACCCCTAAACCCGACAAGCAAGAAGCAGGATGGTAGGGTTGCAGAGGTCTGGCCTAAGCCCTCCCTCAACCCTGAATAACCACCATTTTGGGGCTCCTAGTAAGATTTCCTTGTACAAGTCCTTAAAACGGTAGGTCATTCCGGAAGCCCTAAAGGCCTACACCGGTTTTAAGCCTTCGAAATCCTGACTTCCCCTCCCCTTCCTAAAAAGAGAGACAGTCTAATTGTTAGTAGGGTCCGCCTAATAATGCACAAAATTTCAGAAGTGTCCCTGACATGATACCTGACAGCTAAGGGATGTTTTTTGTAACCAGAGGGCAAAAGTCAATTCGATGAAGCCAAAAAGCTGTAAAAAAGTTTCAGCATAGTTACTTTCCCCTAGAACCTTCCTGTATCTCCTGTCATGCCCCACTAATATATGGGTCATATACACCTGCTTACGGGCACAGGAGGCCCAACCTCAAGCCCCTCAAGCCTAAAATCCTAAACCCCTGAACTTGCTATTGGGCGTATAAGCCCTGAAATCTATAGACCCTAAACTCTAAACCCTACATCCTAAACCCCTAAATCCTAAACCCTGAAGCCCTGCAGGAACTGCTCGATGCTTCGAAGGACTGCTGTGGGTCTCCGTTTTTCTCACCGCTTCACCGGTTTAGGGTTTACGGTTTTAGGGGTTAAGCTTCTGATTTAGGGTTTGCATCGAGTGTGGCATCTTGGGCTTAGAGTGTCAATAAGATTGGGCCTTGGGCTAAGGGTCTAGAATGTGCGCAGCTTAGTTTTTGGTTTGTTCATTTGAGTGTTTGCCTCACTGACTCGTGATATCTCATGATTTTGCACCGGCTTGCCATTTAGTCTTAACCACTTTTCATAATGATTGGTGTCCGGACAATCAGTGTCGAAGTCTCCTTACGTACAAACCCGATAATTACGCTTTTGGTCGTTAATGCTCCTCCCATAGAGCCCTTAAAGTTTAAAGACGTTGCAGCAATAAGAGTAACATAGATAACCATATTGACAATAAAGGCACTCGTATTCAAACTATAGTAATATAACATCAATATAAGTAGTAATAACAATACTAATCATCATTTTACTAATAGTAATCATATCATGGGTTCACGTGCCTTTCCAGACTACCTCTGGGCTGTTCACAGCAGCTAGGGTCCGCTCAACAAGGCCCAAACGGTAATTCGGTTTCCCGGCGATCCCGTCATTGCATGGCTTATGATGGATACCCATAGGCGCCATGGTAGTTCCTTGTTGGGATTCGCTTCCAGGGCCTCTAGGGTTTTAATCCCAAAAAGGAATTACTATGGATCCTATGGATAAAGCATAGTTGAGGGCCTAGGATCATGTTCGACGCTTGATTAGCACTTGGGGATCTGTTACGTTGTCTCCGAAGGATCGTTCAGCGAAGCATGGGAAATCTGCCGATTCAAAAAGAAGCACCTTACGACATGATCCTTTCCCGCTGCGAGGACCTGACCAGCTAGTTATAGGCAGCGACAGTCTGAATGCTAACCTATATCTCAAATCCTTAAAGCCTTAACAACACTGGTTGGACGGTGCAAACTCCGAGGACGTGTGGGGAAGCTACCTTGAACCCTGCACACGACTATCCTTTCGACCTAGCTCCCCAACTTCCCTCCAATGCTTATCTCGAAATGCCTAGACCCCAACATCCAAGGCTCAACACCCAACCGTGTCGTTCATCCTAGGTCGCAACCTGAAATGAATAGAGTAGAAGCCGTAAATCATCATCCTCATGCCACAAATTGGGCGAAGGTATGGGGATTCGCAGCATTACCCATAGGCCCCAAAGTAGTTCCTTTTTGAGAATACCCTATACGATTCTATATATGAACCCCAAAAAGGAACTACTTTGAGGCCTCTGGGTAATCCATGTTCCAGCTTGGTTTGGGGTTCACTGCAGTCCGAGACCCTCAATCGTAGAGTCTAAGACTGTAGAGCCCATGCACCCGATGAGACCCTATAAGACACTTATAAAATTATACAACCCATAGAATCACCTATTTATCTATCTATCTATATATGCACACACATAAATTTACAAAAGCCCTCTAGGCCATGAGCCCATCCGCAACCCACAAAAAAAACCCAACCCTGCAGGAGAACAGCCCCTTCAGGATTCTCGAGGTGAGCTTGGGTGGTTGAGGGTCTAGGTTTTTGAAGGTTTGGAGCTTATAGGATTTGGGCACACTTTTGGGTTCAGGGTTTAGACTGTAGGGTTTATAGGCTTAAGTAGGGTTTAAGGCTTAGGGTTGTAAGAGATTGTGGTTCGGGGCCAACATGCATCCTCGCGGGTTTCCGCTAGAGGGAGTCTGAATACTTCGTATACTAGTACGTGTTGTGTAGATTTCTTTGTGCATTCGCGTTTTGCATGTTATCATAGAAGCTACTCGTGCTCCTATAAGAGGGGGCCTGCGCTGCATGCGGCTTTTGCTTTTTGTTGTTGGGGGGTGTTTGGTGGCCTACGGCTTCGAGACAGGAAGCTTTCAGCTGCCTACTGTACAGTGTTTCGATGCGACGATTACACAGGGTTTCATAGTACCTACTACAAAGGTAACAGGTAACGGCCTCAACAGCACATGGTGAGAAGGCAGCTGGAACACATCGATCGGCACGAAGCGAGAAACTTCTTGAGGCATTGGCCAAAGTCTGCTCCTCTACAACCTACACCCACCACCGAAGCCTCAAAGTGTGAGGGGAAAGCGAGGCTTTGGGGTTGAAGGAAACCCCAAGGGTCCAAAGGACCCAATAATTAGGTACTCGGCTTTAGGATAGTAGTTATGTAGGTTAGGACTTTGGAGAGTATATGATTATTGGGTACTTGGACCCTTGGGGAAAGGATACAGTGTGAAGGGCCGCCGGGTTTAGGGGCGAACTGGACAACAATTCTGCGGGAATTTCGGAATGCCAATCCCGAGACTCGACTTGAGGACACGGAATCAAACATCCGAATGTGAGACCGTCTATGGAACATGCACAGCTTTCAGTAGCTTCAGCTAGGCATGAGGAGTTGTGGAGTTGTTCTTTGAGATGTCTGTGGGCTTGTGGCTTTTCTGTGTATATACATAGAGTACATAGAGTGGGCACGCTTTAGTTGTTCAGCTTCACATGGCCACTTTGTTTCTGGACGACTCTGTGCGTGGGTCCGCGCAGAAGTGAGTTCGGTACAATCAGACCTCGAAACAGTCCATGAGGATGCATTGCACATCGACCATAGAGGTCTTAGATATCATAGGACGATTCCTTCGTAGAAGGGCTCTCTGAGGCTTCTTTACTACTAAAAGGACTCCGCCCAGCCACTGCCCTCCCTTTGTTTGCGAGGTGGTTCTACCGTACTTGGAGGATTTGAACGGAGTGAACTTGTCGACGACCGTCCATCGTGTCGCCCGCTCCTGCGCCTCGTCACAGTCATATCGGATCCCTTTTTGGGTCCCTGGTAAAATACGGCACTTACTATTTAGGGTACCCAAAAAAGGACACAAATTTTGGGTGTGCTTGCCGATTCCCCACCCGAACCCCGAACCCAATCCCCATCCCCAGACATCTAAACTGACGGCAACCCGACCCTAGATCCCAAGCTTGAACCCTATAGGTCTAATCCCTAAAAGCCCACACCGGGGCCCGCCAACATAGATTTTAATAAATCCCACACCACAGCGGTTGCAGCAGCTGGCTGGTGTTGGAACCCCCGCTCCTCTTGCAAGGCAGACTGCAGGCACAAGGCACGAGGGTCCAAAAGAGGTTCAGCCCAAATCTTAACGGTGATGAGGTTTAGTCAGGGTTCGGGTCTAGGGTTTAGGATTCAGAGTTTAGGGTTTTGAGGTTTGGGGCTGGCATTCCGTTTTCCTAGGGCAGCTTGCCCGAACCAAAAGCCTCATCACTGAATGTTCACCCTATACAGCTCCCAGACAATTGTGGTACCATGTACGGCCGAAGCGGATTCCGACCCTTTCAGCTTCTGGAGAATCTTAAACCCTGAGCCCTAAACCTTAAACCCCAACCCCTGAAGGAGAATCTGCAACCCTGATCGAAGCCCATAACTGTTGATGATATAAATCCTGCATTACCTTAAGGACCGAAACTTGGGAATTATGGTATATTCCTTATTATGGGTAATGCAGGATTTAGATCATCAACAGCAAGCTCCGACCCCGGCAAACAGCATCCTAACCTCCCAGATTCCACACCCTCAACCTCAAACACTCAAAGCCCAAGATCTGCCCCAATCCTACACCCTAGGCACTAATGGTTTAGGGTTTAGGGTTTATGGGTTTACTGGTTTAGGGTTTAGGGTTTCCGTTAGGGTTTATGGCTTGGAGAACCCTTCCAGTCACCCTGAAAGGAAGCCACCCAGACCTTCCAAAATCCCTTAATTAAGGAATATCCCTTAAATTATAGTAGGATCCTTAATATGGTTTAAGGGATATTCCTTAATTAAGGGATTTTGGAAGGTCTGGGCACCTTGGAACCCAAACAAGCAAAGGCAACGGCTCGAGTAAGTTGGCCGAGCAGATCAAGCGGACGCAGGTCATTAGGGTTTAGGGTTTAGGGTTAACCTTTCTTGGAGGGTTCAGTGTTTACCCGCACCCTAAGAAACCCAGCTTTTTCAGGCTCCTTTATATGATTTCCTTGTATAATTCCTTAAAAAGGTAGGTCATGTGGGATTAAGGTAGGCCTTAACTCAAGGGAGTCACTTGGGCTTAGGGTTTGGGGGCTCGGGAGGTTTTGGGTTTAGGCGGTTTAGGGTTTAAGCGCTTAGGGTTTTAGGTGCTGGCCGGGTTTAACTAGGGGTCGGAGGGTTTAGGGACCTAAGCCCTTACGGGCCATGATGTTTACCTATTTCTGGGATGGTTTAGGTACGGCTTAGGCTTTAGAGCGCAGGATGCCATATTATAGGGGTTCAAGAAGGTTCTACAAGGGGTTGCATCCGGGTTCTATGCGGGCGTTATGAGTTTTCTATCAGGGTTTGACAGCCGCTTTGCTTGGGGGGTTGGAAGCGAAGCCTCCATAATCCTGCGCATACAAACGCTCAAGTCCTAAACCCGACACCCTGAAACCCGCAAATCCCTGACCCCTAAACCTTACCCTACACCGCAAATCCCCAACAAGGCACCAAGACACACCGAAAACGTTCTCCCCAAACCCTAACTCGCAGTACCTACAGAGCTCATAAGCTACCATCCCAAAACAAGAATCCAAGGTAACCAAACGAGGTACTGGATTTCGGGTGGAGGTATTCCTTCCCCCAAAAAGGTTTGGCCGATCTCAATCTGCTCCCGTCACTGACCTAAACCCAAAATCCTGCAAACCATTCTCCGAGATCCGTGTACTTGGAGGATCATGGGACTCAGTCAACAAGGTTCTAAGTACCTTACTTGGGCATAAAAGTTTAGAAGCATAGCTACCTTGCCTAGAATCCTAGCTGCTAAGTCCCATGATCCTTCAAGCCCAGACCTTCCAAAATCCCTTAATTAAGGAATATCCCTTAAATCATATTAAGGATCCTACTATAATTTAAGGGATATTCCTTAATTAAGGGATTTTGGAAGGTCTGGGTAAGTCCCATGATCCTTCAAGTATGCGAAGCCGGCCCTGACGTTTGCAAAGCTCCCGAAGCTCTAAAGATGAGAGTCTGAAGCCTCGCATAGCTCATATAGAACTTCATTCGGGTTCAGGTTATCGAAGTGTGATCCGTATGAATAATAAAGACTCCAGGTATATAAGTACCGTTTCTTGCCGCCTCAACCTTGACGCCAACTTTCTATGTTTATTAACTCCTTCGCCTGTGGCGCTTGACTGCAAGCCAAAGAGATTCCCTGACCTGTTTCCCTTAAAATCCTAAAGCCTGAACAACCCTAAACCCTAACCCTAAACCCCTAAGCCCTAAACCCTAAAATCCTAGTGCCTGAACAACCCTAAGCCCTAACTCTAACCCTAAACACCTAAGCCCTAAACCCTAAAATCCTAAAGCCTGAACAGCCCTAAACCCCAACCCTAAACCCCTAAGCCCTAAACCTTAAAATCCTAAAGCCCGAACCACCCTGAACCCTAAACCCCAAGGGCCGAAGACCCCAAAGTCGTAAACCGTCCTGAAACCCTAAGTTTCTTCTGCACTTCAAAGTCTTAGTAGCTGAGTGTATAGACTTTACACAATTTGGGAGAATATTACTCACTATAGAACTAAAAGTGTACACTATTTGGGGGGCTTATGAACTCAGCTACAAAGAAGTCCGTGAGGCCTTTTCCCGAATGCTGGATCATGCGGCCACCTGGATGATAGCAGTGTCTGCAGGGCTACAGACTGGGTTTGAATAATCACCGGCGGTACATTGCAGTTTTAAAAGTATTAAATATCTCGTAGTGGTCCTCCCTTCATTGTCTACCCAAACCCTTTTCTCGGTATTGAGGCCCCGGTATCATTCAGGTTGGGAGGTTTCCGTTGTAGGGTATGTCTGTAGCATGTGTGCAAACCTTCTCTTTTCAAAACTTGTAGAAAGAAGCCCGAATAAGCAACGCAAAAGGGTAGGTTTCTGGGCTACGGGAAAAGTTATTCGCGGCTTCAGGGTGTAGTGTAGTGCGTGTAAGAATGGCCGAGTGATTCGATCGACTCACGACTGGCAGATTCCAAATCTCGGCTGAAGTTTGGACGCTGTGGTGTTTTGAGGCTTGAGTTTCCATTTTCAAGCTTTAAAACTTGAGATTCATGAGCTGTGAAGCTGTTGGGGTTTAGAGTGTGACTGGTGTTCAGTTGTGAACCCGAAGCCCTACGCCCACGAGCGGCCGCTCGCAGCCCGGGATACTTCCCAAGGTTCTTTTCTGCGTTTCGGGCTTAGGGGTTTAGGGCTTAGGGGCTCAGGATATAGGGGTTCAGGCTTTCTGGTTACTGTGAAATCCAACCGAGGGAGCTGGACACCCATCTTTTCAAGGGATGCGAATGCATTCTTAGATACAGATTGAAGAACCCTGAGACCCGACAATCCCCAAACGTTAAACGCAACATAACATTCAGGGAAAACTTGGTATAGTTCCTCTCATGGTTTTGCAGAGGTATCATTTGTTGTACATATGTTTGGCGTCTCAACTTGTAGCGAGTGAAAGCTCGTACCAGACTCGAACAGTGTATTGAAACCCGAAGTTTTCAATTCGCAGCTGTGTAAGTCAGGAAGCCATGGTACAGTCAGAGATCGAGAATGTGGTGCCTTGGATGGTTCAGGTTAATTTTATTCAGGGGCTTCAGGAGTTCCGGGATGTAGGATTCGGAAAATTTAGGGTCTGGGATGAACCTGGGGTTTAAAGCTAGGGTTCAGATAGCCGAGTCCTACGGTTGATGATATAAATCCTGCATTACCCAAAACAAGGAATATACCATAATTCCCATAGTTTAGGGTCCTTAAGGTAATGCAGGATTTTGTGCCTCAGCAGTAGGACTTTAGGATGTAAGATAGAATACGGAATGCTGGCTGAGAGTACTCCTTAGAGTTCCTTCTAAGACAGTACACTTCCCCCCTTTCCCACCCCGACCCCCCTGGCAAAAACGAATTGTCCTAATTGTTATAGACCTTGTTTTTTTTTGTGGAACCTTTATAGAGCCTTTTTCAAGGAAACCTTAGAGGTCTTGGGTCTGTCCTCTTAATGTGTCAGCTCTACATCCCGTGTCGGTTTAGGGTTTTCGACTAAACCCAGCGCCCAAGAAGCCCCAGAACGATGAAGTAGATCAGGGCTTTGGGGGCTTGGCACACTGTTGTTATTTCACTTGTACAACAAACAGAGATTCCCGAGTGACAACTTTACCGGCAGTTTTGATTTCGCGATTACATATATATATATATATATATATATATATATATAAATGTATATGTATATATATTTATATATGTATATGTATATGTGTATATATATATGCTTATGGATCAAGAGAATCTTCGGGGGCTACTTATTCAGACCCCTGCAAACTCTAAACCCTAAAAACCTTAAATCCTGTAAACCCTATGAATCGTTTAAACCTTAAGCCCTAAACCCTATAAGCCATATAAGCCCTAGACCCTATACGCCCTTTGAGCCCTTTAAAGCTTATGAGCCCTATAAGCCCTAGAGACCTATAAACGCTATATACCCTAAAATACCCAAGAACCCAAACCTCAAAAGCCTTGTAAACCCTAAAACCAGTAAACCCTGAACCCTGTAAACCCTATGAGCCCTAAACCCTAAACCCTTTATACACCCTACCCCTATATAAACCCGAAGCCCTATAAGCCCTAAACCTTAAAGCCTATCAGCTCTGTAAACTATATAACCATATATAAACCCCAAACCCACCTAAACCCGATATCCCCTAAATGAGAACTTTGCGGACGTCCCTGGCTCTCGGGGCTGAGAATGGAACTCCGACGGACGCAGATCCATCCCCCACCACACCGCAAGTGTACATGGTATTTATAAGGGTTTAGGGTACAGCCAGTTTGGAGAAGAGTTTGCGCACGCAAACTCAATATTGCAGTCCCATCGTTGCCACTGTGGAAGCTGCGCAATTTGGATTCCTGACGTCACAAACTGGCAAGCTCTTGCAGCCTATTCCGCCATATGCCAAACCGCAGCCAACTCCGAAGACGCGCTGGGAGTGAATAGCTTGTCCTGGTCCATTTACTCGCCATCGGTGATTAAACCCTCCAGTTCAAGGGCCATGCGATATGAGCTCTTATCAATATGAAACGCCGCAAAGCTCATATGTTCCATTGTCGCTGTATGATTGTCACGATGCTTTCAACTGCAAACCGTATGTATGTACATATGACCAGCGGTTGTGTGTGTGTGTGCGTGGACGGATGTTTTGGGCCATCGTCAGCATCATTCTTTCGATCATGATTATTCGAAAACTGTCATGACTGTCCATGTCAGCCAGAATCCTCCCAGTCCGTTTTGTCCCTTGAACCGAACCCCAAACCTTCAGCCCCAAACTCTCAGTCCGAATCCCGAAGCCTTCAGCCCTGTGCCCTATAGACCCTAAACCCTCGGCCCTAAGCCCTAAACCTTAAACCCTCGACTTCCTGGAACCGAAAACCCTAAACCTCAAACCCCAAAAGACACTAAGCCTTAAACCCCAATTCCCTAAACTCCTAAAGCCTAAAACCCGATAATCCTAAACCCTAAACCCTAACACCCTTAGCCTTAAGCCCTAAAACCCTACAATCCTAAACCCTAAACTCTAAAACCCTAACCCTTAAACCCTAAAACCCTGAAGTTCTAAACCCTAAATCCTAAAACCCTAGACACGCTAACTCCTCAGCCCTAGAACATAAACCCCCGAAAAGCCTCAGATGTCCTTATCCCCTTCCGAGGACGGCTCGATGCCTGTGAATTAAAGCTTATGAGCCCTATAAGCCCTAGAGACCTATAAACGCTATATACCCTAAAATACCCAAGAACCCAAACCTCAAAAGCCTTGTAAACCCTAAAACCAGTAAACCCTGAACCCTGTAAACCCTATGAGCCCTAAACCCTAAACCCTTTATACACCCTACCCCTATATAAGCCCTATCAGCGCTAAACCCGAAGCCCTATAAGCCCTAAACCTTAAAGCCTATCAGCTCTGTAAACTATATAACCATATAAACCCCAAACCCACCTAAACCCGATATCCCCTAAATGAGAACTTTGCGGACGTTCCTGGCTCTCGGGGCTGAGAATGGAACTCCGACGGACGCAGATCCATCCCCCACCACACCGCAAGTGTACATGGTATTTATAAGGGTTCAGGGTTTAGGGTACAGCCAGTTTGGAGAAGAGTTTGCGCACGCAAACTCAATATTGCAGTCCCATCGTTGTCACTGTGGAAGCTGCGCAATTTGGATTCCTGACGTCACAAACTGGCAAACTCTTGCAGCCTATTCCGCCATATGCCAAACCGCAGCCAACTCCGAAGACGCGCTGGGAGTGAATAGCTTGTCCTGGTCCATTTACTCGCCATCGGTGATTAAACCCTCCAGTTCAAGGGCCGTGCGATATGAGCTCTTATCAATGTGAAACGCAGCAACGCTCCTGTTCCATTGTCGTTGTGTGATTATCACGATGCTTTCAACTGTGAACCGTATGTATGTACATATGACCAGCGGTTGTGTGTGTGGGTGTGTGTGTGTGTGTTTGCGAGGACGGATGTTTTGGGCCATCGTTAGCATCATTCTTTCGATCATGATTATTCGAAAACTGTCATGACTGTCCATGTCAGCCAGAATCCTCCCAGTCCGTTTTGTCCCTTGAACCGAACCCCAAACCTTCAGCCCCAAACTCTCAGTCCGAATCCCGAAGCCTTCAGCCCTGTGCCCTAAACCCTAAACCCTAAGCCCTAAACCCTAAATCCTAAACCCTATTGACCCTAAACCCTCTGCCCCAAGCCCTAAACCCTAAACCTTAAACCCTCGACTCCCTGGAACCGAAAACCCTAAACCTCAAACCCCAAAAGACACTAAGCCTTAAACCCCAATTCCCTAAACTCCTAAAGCCCAAAACCCGATAATCCTAAACCCTAAACCCTAACACCCTTAGCCTTAAGCCCTAAAACCCTACAATCCTAAACCCTAAACTCTAAAACCCTAACCCTTAAACCCTAAAACCCTGAAGTTCTAAACCCTAAATCCTAAAACCCAAGACACGCTAACTCCTCAGCCCTAGAACATAAACCCCCGAAAAGCCTCAGATGTCCTTATCCCCTTCCGAGGACGGCTCGATGCCTGTGAACTGCGGGTCGACCCTGGGAAGCAGATTTGGCACTTAGGGTTTAGGGGCTTAGGGTTTGGGATTGAGGGTTTAGGGTTTGGGGGTTCAGGGTTTGGGGTTTTGGGTTTAGGGTTAGGGTTTTGGGTTGGGATTTAGGGTGAAATGGGGTCTATAGGGCTTTGAGTGGTGTTTGTGGTGGGGTCGGTAGGTGTGAACAGGGTTGAATAGGTTTTTTGCGGATGTGATAGGGTTTAACTGAGGTTACTACGGTATGGAATCACTTCGTAGGCACGGCGCTCTCATAAACCCTTCAGGCTCGCACTCCGGAGTGGGTGCACAGACAAACACACGGCTTTTGGTCATGTGATGAATCCTCTCGGTTGCCGGTCGACTTACCTTTGGTTAGTAGGGAATGGAAGAATGGTAGTAGTAGTAGTAGCAGCAGCAGTAGTAATAGCAACCCATTCCTCCATTCCCTCATTCCCAGATAACCAAAGGTAAGAAGAGGAAAGATCCCGGGGCCGCCCAAATAAACGGTCGGCGAATTCGGAACTGGCGCTGGTTAATATAGGGGCCTTAAAAATTACCTGTAATTGCTATTTTGGGGGGTTCCTTATTATGATTTTAGCATCGTGGGCTCCAAAACCGTATTCTAAATATTAAGGCCCCTACAGTAAGGCTACTGCCATCGGCATGCCCCCTTGACAGTTACAAGACAAAACAAGAGAACGGTTAAACGGGCGTAAGTAGGGGTTAATGGGTAGGTTTAAATTTGGCTTCATAGAGTTTAGGGTTGAGGATTGGGGGTTTGGGGTCACAGCTAAATGGGACTTACTGGACTCTTACTTGGGTTGGGTTTGTTATTGGGGTCAATAGGATTTCTTTGGGGTTTGTCGGGCTCAATAGGGTATGGAGTTTCAGGATTTTGTTGTTGGTGGTACTTTGTAGTTAGTGGGGTTTAGGGTTGGGGCCGGCTTGGGCTTTGAATGGTTGGCTTTGATCAAGATTTGTGGGTTTCCGATTCGGGAATGGGCTCAAACGAGCTGTTGGAGGATTGCCTCAACTCTTCGTCGTTTTGGTTTGGTTGCCATTCCTGGTCCTGGCTGTCGTTTTCACGCAAGGTCCTTCAAACCCCAAAGCTAGGGCCCTAGGTTAATGTTGGGTGGCACTAGGGGTAGTTGCGTACCTGCAAGAAGGGTGAACTTAGCATGGACTTGGACGAACTTCGGTGGCACGAGCGAGGTGATGTCGACCTCGGAAGCTTAGATCCAGGTTCATCATATGATAGACCTCAAACCCTGAACTTTCCCAAACCCTAAACCCTGAATCCAGCTCCCCAAATGCCAAACCCAACAGTATAAGCCCTAAACCCCAAACCCCGAAACCGTAAGCCCTAAACCCTGGAGTTCAAACCCAGAAACCCTAACCCTCCTAAACCGCGCTCGCGTGCCCTAAACCCTAAACCCTACCTTAACCCTGAAGAACCTACATTTTTAAAGACTTCTTTTCAGAAGTCATAATAAGGAACCCCAAAAAGGTAGCTTATTCAGCTCAGGATTATGGCCTGGTCATGTGCCAGCCTGAAAGTCTTCCGCCCAAATCTCTTCAAGGCACTTGGAAGGGCAGGGGACTTAGTAAGTAGGTTATAAGTAGAGTTATAAGTACCCCAAATGGAGTTACCCCAATTATAACCCTACTTATAAGCTACTTACTAAGTCCCCTGCCCTTCAAGGCAGGCGTTAGGCTTTGTATTTGAGGGGCTTGGTAGGGTTTATATAGGGGCCTTCAGTATTAGAACCGGATTTTGAGGCTATACTAATTTTATAATTACAATAAGGAACCCCGATTTGTTTAGGGCTTGTAGGCTCGGGGATATTTAGGGTTTGGGGTTTATTTAGGCTCAGGGACGGGGGCTTCGTATTTTCAGATATGTTGGGCTTGTAAGGGTTTAGAGATGTTTGGGCTTAGGCTATCAGAGGCTATACTGTTTTTCTGTAGGGCTTGGGGCTTTTTAGGTTTAGTTGTACCAGCCCCGACCTCGTTTTTTTGTCGAAGGCTTGTACCCTACACTCTACACTTTTGAAAACTAAATCAATTACATAGAACCGAACCCCAACGCCTGACTGCTGCAGATTTGAAATCTTGAAGCCCAAACCGTAAAATCCAGAATAGTGTAGCTGGATAGGTGGAGGTACATCCCCTTTTAGTCGTTGTCTCCTTCTGCATAAATACATGCGTAGAATCACATCCCCGTGTCGTCCCTCTGAATAAACTCCACAACCCCACTCTAGTTATTGAGGCCCCTTTGACGCCCTAAACCCTACCTACACAGCATAAACCCTAAACGCCCTGAAGCCTAAGCCGTAAACTCCAATCCATAAGCCATAAAGTCCCAAACCCTAAATCCTAAACGCTAAACAGTACAACGACGCGGGTGGAGCAGCTTGGGGTTCCTTCGTATGACTGCCCTTCCGAGTACTGTCCGAAGCTACTGGAGGCGGCCCGCGCCTATGTCTTAGGGACCCAAAAAGCACATAAGCATAAGCATTTGATAGGGATATCCCTACCTTCTTGGGCTTCTTTATAAGGGGGTTTATATGGGATATCCCTATCCTAAGTTTTGCTTACGTGCTTTTTGGGGGCCTAAATGTCCCGGCTGAGCCCGCCCCCACGACGCAGCAGCAGACAAGGTATGTCAAGTTCACGGACACGGATGGGACGACGTATGTGGCCATGCGCACGGGCACATGCTAATAGGCTAACGGAAGCAGTGCTGCACGCGTTGAAAGAGTTGCACTTCCCCCAGACGGCCGGCACGCGGGTCGGCTCGGGTGCCCGCCTGCAATGGCCTTACACGCCAAAAACGTTCGAACCCTACACCGCCCAAACCCTAGCACTAGTTAAGCCCCAAACTCCCGAAATCTTGCCAAGGCAGATCATCTATCCGGGATCTACCCTGATCCATCATCTCGACGTACGGTAGCAAGCGTCGACATAGGGTTAGAAACCTTCGACGATTTAAGGTTTTGGTCTAGGGCTTAGGGGTAGGGAGTATGGGTTCAGGCCTTTTAGGGTCTAGGGATAGCAGGTCATTCGAGCTACAGCCCAGGCATTCCCGAGTATAGTATGCAAGCCTCAATACTTACCATAATTTTCACCGAGGGAGGCTTGTGACTATTTTTCTCTCAACATATTTGCTGTTCTACTTTTCTATAACACACCCTTATACCTACTATTCTAGTCGATCAGGTCCCTTTTCCGTTCGAACAGCACGGCCCTGAACCCTAAAGCCCTAAACCCTAAAACCCCGCAGGCCTTGGCCGGTGTCGGTGCCAGGGGGTTGCGCAAATGTCAAACTTACGAGGCGCAAGTGATCGAGTTTAGGGTTTAGGGTGTAGGGGGGTTAGGGTTCAGGGTGTAGGGCATATAATAATCAGTTACCAATCCTATTGTGGGGGTTCGAATATGGTTATAGTATAGTGTACCCAAAACCCTATTCCAACTATAAATCACCTATATTTCCTGGATCCCAAAGGTATCTAGAATCATCGCCTTTTGCAGGTGTGGGGCCAGTTTAGCAAACTGTGGAGGGGAGGGGCGGGGGGGTGGATGCGGAAGGGGTTTTCAGGGTGCAGCCTTGGGGGGGTGCCAGGTTTCGGATGGTTTACCCCCAAAGTAGTTCCTTTTTGGGAATACCCTATAGGATTCTATATACGAACCCCAAAAGGAACTACTTTGGGGCCTTTGGGTAGGGTTAAGGCTGAGGTTTAGGGGTTCCGGGTGTAGTTTTGCGTTTAGCATTAAATCCTGGACTTTCGCTCTAGGATTTTGCCAGAGCCACATTGGGCTACGGCTATGGAGTTTCAGCAGGGCCTGCTGTGTCGGTAAGAATATGCGGCTTGTTGGGTGATTCAGTTGGTTTCGCACATACTCGCATGGTTGACGTTCCAGACCGGGTTTAGGACTAGGCAAGTACTATAGGGGCCTAAAGAAGTACCAATACTATTTTGGAGTGTCCTTCTATATTTATAGCATATCGGGCCCCAAAATGCTATTCTAATCATAAAGCCCCTTGTATTAAGCAAGTAGCCTTTTTGTCCTGTCGCGCTTTAGGGTTCCATGCCATTTGTTCGATCAAAGCCGCAGCAGACACTGGTCGTTCGGATGTATCTGCATGGGCCAAACCTCCCTGGCCAGCACCTTTTTGCACAGGTCGGTTCTGAGATCACACTTGCTGAAACAGACTACAGCAAACCCCAAAGCCTACTTACCGATCTCCCGCGACCGACCCGCCTAGTACGATTTTGATAGTGCATTCTCAGTCTTAGTCTTGTTGCAATATTTTCTGTATCGGCATACTAATTTCCGTTGTATTGTACTGAATTACTATATTACTTTGTCACTATATCATCATTTTGGTAGAATTCTTATATCAGACTATATCAGACTATATGCTATTCTACTACATGGCCATACTGCTATACTGTACTACTATATTGTCGCAAGTTCGGTTCAGTTCGATTAAATATTGCAGCGTTTCATTTCCCATTTTTGAATCCCCAGGTCCAGGAACGAAAGCAGATGAATCTCCAGGTCACCAACATGCTGTGGGCTTTCGCTGAGTTGTGCAAGCACCAGCCGCGCATCGCCATGTCGATCGAAGAGGTGCGACATCTGCAGTTCAATAGAACTAGGATGCCCAGTAGTACCCTTATTCCCCTTTTGTAGTCCTGGGTTCCTTATAAAGTTACCCAATACCAAAAAGAGAGGCCTTTTTATTCTTAATTAGGTTACTGGGTATCCTAGAATAGAAACTTGGATTGTTGTTAGGCTTGTACTCGTAGACTTCGTAGCCAGCACCACCCTCAAGATTATGATTGACATCTTCATCATCATAAGCAGCATCATGCTCTTCCCTAGACCCTAAACTTGGGCTTCACTCTGAGCCATCAGTTCATGCATATTGAAGCTTCAGGGCTCCGGAGAGGTGAAGTTCAGATTCAATACAAGTTTTCCTTAGAGTGCCTAAGCATGCAAGAGCGTTTTTCTCCCGAGGTTTCGCCCGAGCCAGCCCGGAACCCTTGCCAAATGAACCGAAGCCTTTAAGCGCCAGAGTTGAGAGACGGTTGATGATATAAATCGCAGTACCTTAGTGGCCCTAGACTATAGGAATTATTGTATATTCCTTCTTATGGGTAATGCAGGGTTTAGATCATCAGCCGGAGCACCCGTCAGTCCGTTGTGATCCGTTTGCTTTCTCGGGTCGAGGGTAGGGTTGAGGCTTTAGGGCGGAAGCTCCCGGCATCCTACTGGTGATGGACAAAATCCTGCATGGCCTGAAGGACCCTAAATTATGGGAATTATGGTATATTCCTCATAATGGGTAATGCAGGATTTTGTCCATCAACAGTATGGGTGGTTGTCAAAATTGTGGCCCCTTTTTGGGTCCTTTTCATAATACGGCACCGAAGATTTAGGGTACCCAAACAGGGACCCTAATTTTGACAACCACCCCTATGGGGTCCAGGCGCTCCAGACAACTGTACTACGAACTAGATTATACTAGGTTACATTGGAATCCTGGGTTACTCAGGTACTATATTCATACTGATTACTACGCTACTAGATTGCTATACTACGATACTACTATATGACTGTTGCCCTCTTGCCCTACAGGCTTGTTGTGGCATAAGGCTGGTGGGGCTCCTAGGAGCCTCTTTTTGGGGTGCAGAGCGATGCTTGATGTAGGTTCTAGGGGTTTAGGGTTTGAGGTTTAGGGCTTTAGGGCTTTAGGGTTTAGGGTTTAGGGGTGCGGGGGTTTGGGGGTTTAAGGTTGAGGGTTATATGTGGGGGCTCAGGGGGGCCTCCATAGCTCGAAGAGAGTTTTGGGGTGGGGGGATGTATTGGATTTGTAAGGACATTGCAAATTATTCCGTCGTTGTATGACGGTTACGGGCTGTCAGGGTTAAGCTCAGAGTTTGGAGCTCTGAAGGTGCAGGTCTCTAGGCTTCAGTTTTCGCCCGTCCTTTCGAAGGTGCCTAATACTGTTCGCGGTCAGAAGAATCCAAACGGAACTACCCTAAGCCCCAAACCCTAAACCGTAAACCCCACATCGCAAAGCATCAGAGCATTTATCCAACCCACCCTAAACCTTAACTCCCTAAACCCAACCCTGGACCCTAAACCCTAAACCCAATTTCCAAGGGCAAAAGTAGGGACCCTTTATCAGGACCCCTAGGTAGATACCCTTAAGATAGCTATTATATACCCATTGTATAGCCCAATATAGCGTAGTGGTCCCCAGACCCAATCAATAAGGAGCCCTACATCCAAGCAACCCGGATCTCCCTTGCTTCCGTACAACCACGCAAACTCGGACAACAAGGGTTTAGGGTTTTGGGTTTCAGGGTTTTAGGGCTTAGGGTTTAGGGTTTAGGGGTTTAGGGTTTAGGGGTTCATGTCGCCAGGAACTACGCAAACTCTCCGTCTCGGCATCGGAAGCAACTCTTCGTGAGTTTCGTCTCTAGTGCCATTTATAGTTACCAATTGTTCAGTGTTGGGGTTTGGGTGTATAACCAGGGCACCCCTAAATCTTCATTTAAACTGCTGCTTTGCGATGAAATGAGGACTTGTCCTCAGGCTTGCGGCAACGGAAAGAAGTCGTCTCTGCAACTGGATGTTCCCTAGACTGAGCTGCCACAGCGTACTAGTCATCGGAGCCATTGATTTCACACATGCATGTACACATGTACATGTTTAAACGTTTGTTTGTCCTTGTTTGTTTGCCTACTTGGTTGGTGGCTGGTTGTGTGCATGCTTGTTTGGCTTATCTTGTTTGTTGATTGGTCGGTTGTATGTCTGTCGTGTCGGCTGATAAAACTTCTTTGTGTATTTAGTTACCTAGCTTTTCATGTTTAATGTGTATATATATATATATACATATGTATATGTGTACTCCACGAGAAAACACAGGTCGTGGTAGTTTCACTCTCAGAGCATCCCGAATAGTGGGATGTGAATCCAAAGTGCTTGGGCACTTGGACCCTTAGGGTTTAGGGTTTAGGGGGTTTAGGGTTTAGGGTTGTTCGAACTGAACTCGGGATCTTTTCAGTGCAAATGCCATGCACATCCATGCACCCAGATCCGAAAAGTCTGCGGCACAGTGCAATGTACGCGGTTTGAGTTTGATTATATGGGAGTTTCCGAAAATAGGGGACCCTAATATAGTACCCTTAAGAGTAGGATCCTTATTATAAGGACCCCAAAATACGGCACCCGAATTTTCGGAAACTCCCATGTGGGTTCTGGGGCTCTACAGCTGCGTGGACAGCTAAGGTCATCTTGCGCAGAGGAAAAGGAGCCTGGAAGATTCAGGTGCCTCAGCTCAGGGGTACTTAGCGCCAAAATAGTTACCTGTACTATTTTGGGGGCTCCTTAATATTATAGTACGAAGGGCCCCCAAACCCTATTAGAAATTAGGCCCCTGCATTAGACGGTTAGGAGTTAACTTCAGGATAATTTAGTCCTGCCGGCTGCGAGCTTCAGGCAGGGAATGTACATGTTGCAGTTCTTTGTGGCGGGGTCCTTCAGGGTTTTGTAAAAGGTCTAGCGTTAGTCCAGCGTTCAGCGTTTGTATGAACCCTAAAAACGATTCTGAATTTGCTCCTGTTCTGCGTTCTGGTGATTCTTTGAGGGGACTCCTCCGGAAGATTGATGAGCATATATGTATAACGCACACACGTGTATATATATATATACATACACATATATGTATACATATTTCCTTGATGGACTTAGGACCCAAAAGGCCTTGTCTTTAATTCCATGCATAGTGTGTGCAAACACACACCCTCATATACTTTCATACCTACGTATGCTTATACATATGTATATATGTATGTATGTATGTATGTATATATATATATATATATATATTCAAGCTTATTTGTTTGTGGTAGGATTATATACACATACACATGTACGTATGTGTGTATGTATGTATGGACCCTCTGGGTACGGCTTGGGGTTTGCTTTGGGTGACCTAAACAACCGTTCCTGAACCCGTAGAATTCTGTTCGATTTGCCGGGGCCTTGTCCTCACTGTATCTATCCCTGCCGAGTGTCGCAGCATCGGCAAAAGTCGAGCAATTCCCCATCTCATCCTAGAGTTTACCCATGGCCGGCAGAACTTGCGAGTGTCAGCAATAGGGGCCCTGATACGGACCTGAAACTTTTCGGGTATCTGCATGAGGAGAAAACTGCAGCTTCTCTCCATAGACCCACAAACCTAAAGCCTTGAAGTCCTATAATCCCAAACCCTGAGCCCAACAAGCTTTAAACAGTTTCTCGGCAGCCGAGCCCTGCCCCAAGCCCCAAAGCCGCAACAGTGGACGAGCGCAAACTCTTGGCACCTAGGGGCTGAGGTTTTAAACGCAAGGTATACAGGGCCTCATGGATTGAAAGTTTCTTGAGGTCAAGATGGGGGGCCTGGGCCAAGAGACCTATTCACAGACATTGCATCCCTGAACTTAAGCTCTACCTTGTGAGCCCTCAACCCTAACTCCCAAACCCTGAACCCAATATCTACTTGGAAGGGCAGGGGACTTAGTAAGTAGGTTATAAGTAGAGTTATAAGTACCCTAAATGGAGCTACCCCAAATATAACGCTACTTATAAAATACTTACTAAGTCCCCTGCCCCTCCAAGTAGGCCCTAAACCCTAAACCCCATAGATCCCTTTAAGGAACCCTATAGATCCCTTTAAGGAGCCCTTTAAGAGCCCTTACTAAGCTCCCCTGCCCCTCCAAGTAGACTCCGAAAGCTGCCTGGATACTGCCAGGTGATGATCTCAGCGCTAGCTTCGTGGTCGATGTTTCCGACGCAGGCTTCTGGGAGGGAGGGTTTTGGGGTTTGGGGCGTCCAGGGTTTGGGGTTTAGCTTGTGAGGTTCAGGGTTTAGAGTTTAGGGCTCAGGGTTTGGAGTATGCAGTTTAGGGTTTGCGGTTTCGAGGTTACTGCACTTAAGTTAAGGAGAGGATGCTTAATCAAGAATCAAGATAGTGCTTCGATGTTTTGGGGCCTTTACCCTAAGGCCCCAAAGTAGTTCCTTTTTGGGGTTCGTATATAGAATCCTACAAGGCAATCCCCAAAAGGAACTACTATGGGGCCTCTGGGTAGGGCTTTCGGATTTGGGGTTTAGGTTTTGTTCCGGGTTAAACGAACTTGTTCCTTGCCCTGTCTGAGGAGTCCTCGAGTTACCAGCAAAAAGCCTTGGTAGCAGCTGCGGACAGAAGCCCTGATGAGCACCCACGAAACTCTCGTCTCCCATCCTCCACAACCCCTGGGTCTGGGTTTAGGGTTTAGGGTTTATAGGGTTCAGAGTTTAGGGTTTAGGGCCCTACCCTACCCCGAATAAGTAAGTACCCTAATCGTATCCCTCTAAACACCTTTTCCCTTGAACAGGAAAACAGGTGCAATCCCCTCCCCAACAACAGAAGCACTTGCGCAAAGCCTGCCGCCCAGGTGCGGCTTATGGAGGAAGTCTTTACAGATTTGGTACAGGTCGGGCTCTAGTTCCTTTGTCCTTTCGGGGTTTTCGGCGCTTCAGCTTTGCCGTTACTCCTTTCGGTGGTTTCGGGGGACCTGGAATGTTCGCACTCATTTGCATTGTGTATAAAAGTGTAATGTTCTGATGGCCGCCATGGTGGCTTCGTAGTTTGGAAGAGGCACCTTGGCACTTCGATCGGGTTTAGGGTTTAGGGTGTAATTCGTTCAGTGCGTTCTCTATTGGGCATGCTCTGTGGGTTTTTGTTCCAGGAAAGGCTGGCTATAGGTAGGCCCACGCTCAAAGCAAGAATCCTCAAAGCAACAAAGACCTTACACCCCAATAGTAGCAGTCGTCGTCTATTCGAATAAGTACCCCAATTATCGGCTTTAGTATTCTATGACTTGCAATGTACTAGACTAGGTAAGGGGGACCCAATTTTTTTTGACCCTTTTATTTATTTTTTTTTGGCCCTTTTTTTTTGTTTGCCCTTCCGTGGGAAGGAAGGAAGGAAGGAAGGAAGGAGAAAACAAACAAGGAAGGAAGCAAGAAAGGAAGGATGGAAGAAAAAAGGAACGTAATCGTATATACACTGATACCTGCGCAACACTGGACCTCATTGATGGCATTGCAGGTCACCCATGCCCGATCAAAGCTATGAGTCAACGATGCAGCACGCGCGCAGGATTGCAACTCGGCACCACCTTCCACAGGCATGGAGGCATCGATGCGTAGCAAGAAGCAAAACCCAGAGAGAACCCTAAACCCTAAACCAGGGGCATATTCTCATGTGGGAAATGTTGGTTTTTCCCGGGAAACACCTAGAAAACGAACCAAAAACAAAGCAATGAGTTAATCTCATGAAAAAATATAAGAAATTATGTTTTTCCGTGGAAAACCAAGTAAACGAATCAAAACGAAAGAATTCATAGGAACTCCTTCAAAAAGTGGTATTAATCTTACGAAGCTATACAATGTTGGTTTTCCAGGAAAAACGAAGACAACGAACCAAAGAACAACAATGAACACCAAATAGAGAGAAATAAGATAAATGCTCCCAAAACAACTTCACTCGTTTGTTTTCCTGCGTAAACGTAGAAGTAAACATAATCAAATACAGGTCTACCTTGACAACCGTAGGTATGCAGAATTACCGGTGGTTTCGCTATTAATTGTTTTACCAGTATAAGCCGGAAAAAATGTAATGTTACGTTTCTTGGCTTTGGTTGCTGTTTTTGGCTCACGATTGCTCTTTTTGATTGTTGCTTCGGTGAATGTAGGCGAGCTATGAACATTATGTATCGGTGTGTGTGTGAGTGCATCCTGCCTGGCCAATTGGCTTAAGATCTGAACGTGGCTCCTTGGGAGCCCCCATGATGCTGACACTACTGATGCTCAACCTACTCCAAAACGTGAATATCCATCATATAGTATATATAAAATATCTCGGTAAAACATAACACATCGATCCTAATGTGCTATATATGCCGCTCCATACACTGGTATTGTAGGCTTCGATGCAAGTATATGTTCTTGCCTTTTTGGTGGATAGCTGGTATACTGTCTGAGTATAACTCATCTGTGACATCTGTCCATGCTCGATTCGACGGACATCTTTTTTGAAGCAATACCATACAGCAGGTGTTTTCATTGCACTCAAAGGCTAATCGAGGCTGTAAGCTTTGAAGAGTTGCCCTCGCCGGGCTCTTTTGATGGCCGATCGGTGGTGCGCCCCCCTCTTGCCTGGCTGTGTGCTGTGTGCTGTGTGCTGCAGCTCTTGAAGCATGACCTGTCGCACTGTGCTGCAGGCTTTGTTGATCGAACTTTCCCGCGGGGCTTTGCTCGCGAATAGATCACACATAGCTCATGGCTGCCAGCGTGTTGGCTAGATGCTCCTCGAAGGGACTGAGCATTGCCCACAGGGAAGGACGATCGAGGGTTCTATCATAAACCTGTGTGCTTTGCTGGAATTCCTATTATATAGATATAGTTTCCCTGGAGGATTGCTTCGACTTCCGGACGCCTTTTGGAACAGCTCTGCCTCAGCCCTTTATGCCGACCCTCAGGATCGGACTTTTCATGTTGTCAACACAAATTTCGTCTTTACATATATGTCTCGTCTTGATGCCTTTGCAGGATATGCCAAGTCCGGACACATTGCTATCAGAGATCGTGCAAAACATAAAGTACGACGGAATCTGCAAGCACTTTGTGGACTTGTTCAGTCAGGGTGAAGGCCGTGCACCATGGGTCAAACCGGGGATTGTAACCTCATGTTCCTCCCCTGGTGCTGACTTTTTCCGGAATCTCTGCAGGCGTCGCAGCTGCAGCATTCGATGTGAAGTTGCCACCTGCCGAGTGAAGGGCACATGAAGCAGTGTCACGATCATACTTTGATCCGGGGTTTGGCAGGGATACGAGCAGTTGGCAAGTTTTACAGACTGGCGACTGGCGGACCCTGCTCTGTGCTGCTATACGTCGGAACACATTAACGGGGCAGTGAAAAAGTTGTGACGGCAAGTTTGTGGTGCCACCATACAACAGCTGTAGTGACCGACCTTTAGAATGTACTGGCGCAGGTGATGGACCGATGATATGTTTCCCTGAAGGCCAGGTCACATAATTATATGTATACATGCTAGTGTATCGGTTCCGGCCTTGAGCAGGTCGCCATAGAGCAGCGAAGCCAGGCTGGAGGAGCCTGAGTTGAGATTATGCTGGCTTGCTTTGCTCGCATATGATGATAGGAACTGCCTGCTGTGGGGTGTCTTCAAGCTCTTTTGCACAACGGTTTTGCAGTGGCTATGAGCTTAGTTCCGCCGAAGCCGCTGGTCAAATAAATAGATCAAGATTTTATCGTCCCCATGCCATTGCAATTCCAGGTCGGCCTGTGGAGGGCTGGCGTTCTTCGTTACCTCAGGACGGGTTCCAGCACGGATTTGTTGTTATACCTGCAATGGTCATTCTGGCAGGAGTTGCTTTCTCCAACACGAGAGCTCCTTTCAGCTTGGTGCTGAGATTGGGCGCTGGATAGGTTATATATATATATATATATATATATATATATTATATATATATATATATATATATATGTATTACGCAAGCTGGGGATCACAGGTGTATCTAGAAGTCGCTTGCCGGGATCGTGCGGGATGGCTGCAGCTGCTGCGGGCCCACCACTCCGGGTTCGTCGTACAAGGCAGACCTCCTGGCCTCCGAAGCATGCCCTCGCGAAGGCTTTGGAATCGGACAACAATATCAGGGTGCTTTTCCGTGAAAACAAAAACCAGCTCCTGGCGTGAACAAGCCCGGAGATCGTCGGTGCAGCAACCATGAAAGCCCTATCCCTCAACGTCCAAGTGGTACTGCATGCACTAGACATCTGGTGCGAGAGCACCGCCTTCCCGCAAGCGATGGTTATCGATTGGCTGAAGCAAGAGGCCTTATAGGGTATGCAATGCAAAGGTATAACACGTTTGATCTCATGGATACGGAGTGTATATGATCGATGATGTGTTGTTAAACCCTGCAGGTTTTTCATCTTCACAAGCTGATGGTACCGGGAGTCGACGCTCGTGGTGTTGGCATCTATACCGATGCCTGGGGCATTAAACGATTGTCGTCCCTTGCTATTCGCCGTTGGAAAGCACCTATTGCAAGACTCAGAGAAGCTCGGTTGATGTTATGAACCCCAACCTTGCAACAATAAAACAATATACCTGCGGCCTCAGGACCAATCCCTCCACGTGCTCTTCGACACCATGACAAATCACTGGGGCGAAGACCCCCCTGATGATGATGATGACGATGATGGTGATGCCGCTGCTGCTCATGCCGATGCTGCTGTAGATGACTACTTTGAGGCAGGAGGCGCAGACGCCGGCGCAGGTGCTGTAGTGGCCGAAGCAGCAGATGAGCCGAGCAGTTCAGGAGAGCTCGCCACCCACGAGGAAGCCTCGCATGGGGTTATAGAGGATGGCTTGGATGGTGAGATTCTAGCTGAAGGTGAGCTGAGCAGTTCAGAAGGGCTAGCCACGCACGAGGCCTCGGATGGGTATGTTCTGGGTGCAGGAGAGCCAAGCAGTTCAGGAGGGCTAGCCACGCACGAAGAAGGCTCAGGGGAGAATGTTGACGCACAGCTATCTGCAGTTCATCAACAGCTTGAAAGGCTTCGGAGTCTAAGCATACTTTATCAAACTGTTGATCCTTATGCATTATATGTTGTATCTTCTCGTATGTACATTTGGCCAAAATCCTAACTGGCTTTCCAACTCTACTGCTCAGGAACTCCTTGGCTGAGCGACGCCGGACACGGTCACTGCGGGCATCAGCCGGTGTCTCGCTCCAATCATAGATGGCAGGTGCTCGCATATATTAGTGCTGCACGATTGTTTAAACATGTGTGTATGCACTAGCTTGCATGATCTGCTTGCTAAGATCCATCGAACGTGGACACAGTGCCGTCTGATATCATGGACTTGCCCGGCATGAACAAACAGTTGATGCTGGGAGAAGTGGCGGTCATCAGTGACGATGAGGATGATGATGGTCGGGCGACCCGTGCTTACAGCCCCCATGCCTTGCCCAATGCCACTGAGGAGAAAGATGCTGAGATGAAGGATGCAAGCGCCGCTGTGGTGGGCCCCACCGAACCCAACTTAGCCAAGTCAGCCCAGGCAGCTGATGCCGCTGACGCCGAGGAGGTGAAGCCCGATGCAGCCTTGGATGACTTCGATGTTTCCCAGTACCAGGCAAGTTCTGCATAACACACCTATCGTTCACCATAAGGTTGTCGAGTTTGCATCCCCATGCTGCAAATGTGTTGCTATATATTACCATTGCATTGCATATGTATAATCCTGGCAGGGCGACCCATGTCGATTTGCCCAAGCGAAAGCTGCTGCTGATGGTGCTCCGGCCGATGGCCGGAGCCGTGGTGGCCGGGGCGGTCGTGGTGGCCGCGGTAGGGGACGAGGGGGTCGAAAGGGCGCGGCGAAGCCGATTGTTGAAGCTGAGGCTGAGGGTGAAGATCCGGGTGAAGTTGAGGGTGATGCTCCAGAAACCCCAGTGCCGAAATCCAAAACAAAGAAGCCGAAGAAGGGTGAGAACAGCAAGCTTACAACCCCTCCCAAGCACGCCGATCCGAACAAGAAGACAACAAAGCAGGCGAGCAGCAACAAGAAGCCGAAGGCAGCCAGCAAACCGAAGGCAGCAAGCAAGCCCAAGGCAGCAAGCAAACCCAAGGCAGCAAGCAAGCCCAAGGCAGCAAGCAAGCCCAAGGCAGAAAGCAAGCCCAAGGCAGAAAGCAAGCCCAAGGCAGCAAGCAAGTCCAAGGCAACTAAGGCTCCTAAGGAGACGGCTGAGCCCTCGGACTCGGGCAACAAGAGGAGGCGACTTTCGGATGATGACAAGAGTTTTGCCAGACGAGCAAAGCCAGTCAACGGCAGCGAGGATACCTTGAACAAGTGGACAGCCATTCGCGATGCTTATTTGGACAAGCTGCAAGAGCACTATGGTTCCGCTAAGCAGGACAAACTGCCAGTGAGTTTAAAGTAAAATATGCAGTGTACCCTTTAGCTATTATATTATATAGCCTTAAGCCCTGTTATAAAGACCTGAAACCCTAAAGGGAGCTCCACCCTAACCCCCAAACCTTATTGTGTAACACCCGGTGCTCCGAGGATGAGTTCTGGATGACTGTCAAGCCGCAGTTCAAGGGGCAAAGCGATTACACGAAGATCGCGGCCAAGGCAGCCCAGGACTTTCTCGCTGCCAATCCTGTGAACGGGGAGTGATCAGCATGCTCGGCATGCTTTTGCTTAGCAGTTTTGCGATGCGCACATGATAGCCATGATCCTGCACCATCTTAGACCGTGGTGGTCGGGGGCTGTGTGCGAGTGCGACTGCATGTTCCATTTCACATGCAACCACGATTTAACTTTAGGGCATCCTTTTGCGGATCTGGGGGACTACCGTGCAATGCTCGCTGACACCGGCAAAATCTAGCATTCCTGCAATGCCTGCATGTCTCTCTGCTGCTTCTATGCAGACGCAATATATCACTATATTGTTTTCTATGTTCTCTCGTGTAACCTATCTTTCGCCGAGGCTCGGAGATGAAGCGAGGACAGGCCTTTCTGGCACGAGTTGGCGCCCTGCCAACTTCTTCAGATGCAGGCAGTGTGTATGCACGCTTGAAGCTTGCTGAGCTTTTCGGATTGGTTCATTATCATGCAGACAGCGAACACGCCGACACACAGTGAACTTGTGCATGATGACTTCAGTTTTATAGGCTCGACGATACAAGCGGTTTGGCCGGGGAACGTTTGCATTCAGCATCAATTCTGCGATGGAACAAGTAGACCTGGACTCCATCGTGCGAAAGCTGGCTTTTATTGGTGCGCCAAAAGCTACTCAGATAGATGAATGGTGTAGCATGCATGCATGAGTTCACTGCACATAGCATGTGTGCACGCATGCTACATAATCATAGCTCAGGGCTTCATCGCGGCTGTCATGCTGGTCTATTGGATGGACCCGAAGCCTCTCTTCAGCACGATCCCCTTCGATACGATCGAGCTCTTTGCCGGGCGAGCGAGAATAACACGCATGTCGCATGCATGTGGCTACAGAGGCATAGCGGCTGATCAGGTGTACGACCCCGCCCCTGACAACCGATCAGCCCTGCATCTGAATACCAATGCGGGCTTTGCGCACCTCAGCAGCATACTGTGCACATCGTGTCCGACAGGCCAGGATTAAAGACCTGCATGCAGAACAGCTGGGACACTGAGGCTGGCTATTCTAATGGCTTTGGCAGGATCTCCACTGGGGGCCATAGCTGTGCTGGGCATTGAATGCTCAACCTTTGTTTCGATCAACAAGGGCTCATCCAAGCGCGACGAGCTGAATCCGATGGGTGACACTACTGTACTTAGTGTGGAAGAAGCCAACATGGCAACTTCCAGGCAGGCTGGGGCATGCATGTCAGTATGTGGTTTCGGCGATGCATGTATGATGTGTAGACAACTAAATAGCTTATTTTTCTGAAGTGCTCCGTACTGAAAAAGTATGCAGGGCCATGCTCTCCTGGTATGCCTGGGGCACAATATCTTTGTGGAGAACCCCGGCACCTCAGTCATCGGGCACTATCCACGGTTTCAGTGGCTGCTGAAGGCACTCATGAAAGGCAATGTGCGAGCTCCTATTCTAAGAGAATACAAGTGAGTTATTATAGTATATGTGCACACTAGCCCCGGTGTACCCTGAACATGCTGTGTAATCCGAGGTTTTTGTCCAGCGATTCTGGATGAGACATTGGGGGCACGCAAATCCTAAACGATCGATACTGTGGTCCACCTCATCCCTCATTCGGTGCTTCAATCTGGGCCAGTTGGTTGGGGAGCTGAAGAAGGCGAGCTACAAGACTTCTCGGAGATATGTCGATTCTCGTGGTGTCAAGAAGTTTCACGGCACGAAAAATCTGAAGAAAACTGGGCTGCTTGGTTCAAGCACATAAACATAAGGCTGTCCCTCATATGATTCGTCGAGCTGACCTACAGTGTGCTTCTTCTTGAACTTAAGGATCTACCCCGCTGCCTTCGCACGGAGGATGGTGGAGCTCGTCGAGCCATGCCGGCAAATGGGACTTCCTGAAATCGAGGCTTCACTGATTTGCTTTTCCAGGGCTTCGTGGGGTCGTGGCTCGCTCTGGTGTGCCCTGTTCTAGAAGACTCTTATTTTTGGAAAAGGGTATCCTGTAGTAGCTCGGTTTCCAGAACTTGTTTCTCTATATTATATATATATACAGAAAGCGTCACACTGCAGGCCCGAGTTTTGGACACCTACAGTTTGTATCTCTGTTGCATACTGTGGCCAACGGCTTCTCGTACAATGTCCCATTCACTTGTACCAGATAAACTGCTTACGTCTAAGCTTTGTTGTGTAGGCATCTTGTCTATAGGCATGTTGTCTATGTCGTGGTGGAGTTAGACAGACTAATGGCTATGCGGGGGCTGCAGGAACAGCATGGAGTGCGCGGGTGGGCGGGGGGGGGGGGGGGGGGGGGACAACAAAAAAAAAAAAAAAACAATTTTGACTCCCCCCCCTTCTCCCCCGCACAGCTCTTCCACCCCCATACCCGCCCACCCCTCACACCCACCCCCATATCCCTGCTTCATTCCCTCCTCCCCTCGCTGCCCGCGCACTCCATGCTGCTCCTATGTGTAGCATCATCACAGTCATTACATGCTGTCTTCATCGATGTTTTATTTAACCTTTTCTTCATTCAAACGACTATTTCATCTTATTCCTTACCCTATTCTCAATCCGGTACCCGCGCAGGATATCCTGCTCCGTTATGCATTATCATATCAATAAAGGGTTGTCTCCATTGCTGTTGTGTATATAATACGATGTTTTCGTTATTGTATTTTATTTTTCAGAAAGCGTCATCCTGGAGGCCCGGTTTGGCGTAGTTCACGTAAAGTCAACATTATTGTGTTGCTGTACAAATACATACGCAATCTACATCTTTCGAGTTCTAATATGTGTACCCTAGCTCTTGGAGTCTGTGATTTCTTCTTATACTAAATAAAATAAGGCTGTTGCTTCTACTACACTCATAATTAGAATAATTTGATTATTGCAGTAAGACATAGAAGCCACGCAAAAAAAAAGGATCTGGTAATGAAGAAAAATATATACAGTTTTTTTTTTTTGTGGCGTGGCTTCCGTCTGATCTCTAAGCCTTCTGTATGTCTTGAAGCCGCGATTGGTGGTTGGGGGAGGGGGGTCAATCCACGCGCGTTTTTTTTTCCAAATACTTTTATGCGCAGATTTTCGCGTCTAAAACCCCTGGGAAATCATTTTGCGGGGAAAAAATCCTAGGCCAGCAATAGTAAAAAAGTACAGAAAAAACGCATCTTTTGGGGCCCCGCTACTTATATCCATACAATGAAGTAATGTTTTTCTGCATGCCCAGATGCGTCACCAAGTCGAGTCCAAGATTTTATTCGTACATTGACAGCAGAACACACCAAACCACGCTCATGCTCTAAGTTACCATGCCGCACCCAAATTATTTTTGTTACTTTACTGCACTTTGCCAAAATATTACTAGCCACTTTCATCTCGAAACCTCCGGACCGAAGACATACCATGACCATAACAGTAGTTGGAAAAATGAAGTTGTATGGCAAGTCCTAGTAAAACCTACACTGGGTGGAAAACTTGATGTTCTTCTACTATACCTTTGCCAAAACATGAATACCCACTGTGAGCACGAAACTTCCGCACCGAAAACAGACCATAACAGCAGTTAGAAAAATGGAGCTGTATGAGAAATCCCAGTACAACTCATAGTGACGAAACAAATTTGTGTTTCGAACCACACAACTCCATTTTTTCAAGTACGGTTATGGCATCTCCTCGCATATGCTGGGTATTGTTCTGTTCTTGGTAGCGCCGTCAACAGCCTCTGTAATTAAGGTAGGACAGAGAAGCAATGCCCATGCGGGACACAATTGCTTATGCAGGCTCCCTCAGCAGTTACATCCTGGGAACAAGTACCGAAAGTTGCCATGCGATCTAAATGCAGCGGATGTGGACGATGGAGGAAAGACAGATGTACGTGCCAGAAGGCCATGGAGATCACCAACTCGAATCATAAAATGAGTGCGTGAATGAATCAGAGAGTAGAAAGGAGAGTGGGAGAGAGATACAGAAATACCAAATCAACACGGCTACAATATGTGCGGTTATAACATATATCTTGTGTGTTAAAACAAGTGCTCTGTCTTCATTCTTGTGTCCCTTGTCCCCTGTCCCCTGTCCCCCGTCCCCTGTCCCCTGTCCCCCGTATTCCTGTCCCCTGTCCCCTGGTGCTCTGTCTTGTAATCTATTGTATATGTTCTTACGGTCCGTCTCTTCCTCGTTAATATAAAGTACTATATGTAGACTCTGAAACGTCATATCCTATCGTATAAGTTGTTGTTCTGCTCATTGCAATGTCTGGATATATCCCATGCAATTGCAGATTTCGTTTGTTTCGGTGCACTCAACTTGCGTTCATGCTGCTAATGCGGCCGACTGCATTTGCGTATCAGAAGACCTTCTGTTCAGGCATCTATCGAAGATGCACGACCTGTCGAAGTATGGTCCATGACTCAGACCTGTCGACATTAGAACTATACTCCCAGTATATTTCTTTCTCACACCACTGATTAGCTTTGCATTCTGCAGCCACTCTTTGCATTCAAGCATCCTTCGCGTCCGTCTTGTAGTTCTGCCACGACCTATTCGACGATGTCCATCTCGCCGTATCCCGCCCCGATGTCTCCTGAAGATGCACCTCAGGATGATCTAGAGCGTGAGTTGGAAAGTCTTATGCACGAGGATGCTGATCTTGATCACGAGCCAGATCACGCTCCCGAGACACACGACCCGCCTCCTCCTCCTCCGAAACGCCTTCGTGGTGCCCCACTGATGCTTAGAAGCACAGTAGTCTTGATTATTGTAGTAAAAGTTATATTATGGTAAGGTGTATATCTCACTGGAGAGTTCTACACCTATTGTTTTTGCGTTAGTTTGCAGTTCTTGACCTCAGGTTCCGTGCCTTTTCAGACTTGCAGGATACTGATCAACGTCATGCCCAAGTGTCAGATCCTCCCAAGGTTCCAGCAAAGATGGACAAGGCCAAGAATGTCCTTGACATTGTGGCGGAATACGAAGGTTGGAGCCTTGCAAATCACCCCGGCTTTGCTCCCCGCCATCGCATGTTTATGTCTGTCGCGAAATTCATCTGCGACATGAACGCGGCCAACTACATGATGTCGAATGTGCAGAAGCTAACCATCTTCATGCTCATCGATGGTGGTAGTTGGCGAGCTCATAAGCGACAACTCTTTCATCTCCGTGATGGTGCTTGGGACATGGCAGACAAGCTCACGCTTGAAGCATGGGATTTGCTATCAGCCTTAGAAGGACTGTTTGTTACCATCGCATCGAAGTTCGAGGAAGCCGGCGGTGAGGTCAAATGGTCATGGAGCGAGGCGTCGGAGTTCATCCGCGACACCATCACTGAATCTATTCATGACGGGGATCTCATCGATGTACTTGCCTCGTTTGCGAAGCAGAACAGTGATCATGTCCGTATGGTCACTAGTAACAAAACCTGGAAGGCCACATGGGCCAGAAGGGTTGCCGACATGGTCGCTTCCTACCGCAAGGCTTGGGAAACCAACGCCCATACAGCAATCCTATCTCGCTTGTTCTTACAGGATTGCGAAACGCCAATGCCGAAATCGCAAGGCATTTGCTTCGATGATATCTATTTGACTCCCACATGGGATATCCACCCAAAGTCAGAAGCCCGCGACTGTTATGTTCGATTCGACTATCCATATTTCTACGAGAACATGGTGATGTCTGACTCTACCATCAACGTTGACACCTTCAAAGAAAAGCTTCGTCTCTTCATCACATCATTGTACTACAAGAACGAGCACGCGTTCCAGGTCAAGCTGTGCTTCTTATGTGCTGCCTTTCAGGGCGTGTGTACTGGAAAAATGCTATTCCAAATCGGTCGTGGCGGAGACGGTAAAGGCATGGAAGCGGTACTCGATGCAGCACTCTTTGGGTCCTTATCATCGGCAAGTCTCGACTGTGGTGTCTTTCTGGATCGTATGGAGTTTCGCAAGAGCGCAGAATTGGCGTGGAATAAGTCCAACACTCGCATCCAGGAAATGGACACCAAAGTGCGATTTCTGTCCGATATATGGAAAAGGTTCATAGTCGATGAAGAGATCGACTGTAGAGTGAACTACGGATTCACGACGAAGAGACGTTTTGGAACATCCTTGAAGATACAGGAGGTAAACTACGAAAATGTTCCTGTCATCGAGGAGAGCAGAGACATGAACAAGGCCTGTGAACAACTTCGCAGACGAGTGGTTTGTATTCGGATGGGGAATGCAACATACACACCGAATCCTGCCGAAGTTGATCACAAAAACGGCCTCTATCTGCTCATTCCACAGGATGAACTGACATCTTTTCTTCGTCACCCGGTTACAGCAGCACTGTATTTGCGAGAATGGTGCTTGCCCTTCTTCCAGGAGAACTCTTTGGCGGATTGCTTGAAGATGTTGCATGATTTGAAGTCAATTGATGATCGTCTGGAAGCAGACACCCAGTGGTTGGCAGCCAAACTATCTGGGCGAGATCTTCCACCTCCTGGCAATGATCGGACATTACTCGACGCCAATGACGAGATCGTAGAATTGGTACATGGTGCAACTCCACACAAGTCGATCATCAAGGAGTACTTGCTTCACAAAATCGAGGAGCTTCCAGGGTGCATAGCATCAAGTCGTGGTCGTACCACCAAGCTTCAGACCTTCGTTAGCGCAATCGATCATTCAGCCATGAAGCTCTTTAAGCAACTGGACCACAACTCATTCGAGAAGCTGCAGATCAACTGGGCGAAGCTGAAGCAGTCGATGATTCGATGCGGAGGTCAGGAAATGTTCGGTAATTGGATGGAGTGGACGTGCCCATTTGATCTGAATTTTGTCATCCAGTCGTGGGATGGCAATGCATTCCATGACTACTCAGCATTCTACATGCAACATTGCACATCCAGAGGCAATGCCGATGCACTACGTCGACCACTGGCTGCTGCAGTACAGGAGAGTGTTGAGCTTGAACAACTCCGACGATATGCTGAACAGGGACATGATCGCCGACAAGAGCTTCTGGAAGACTACATACATCGTCACGACACCGCGGGGTTCTTGGATGCAGATGGTATGTCAGTGATTGAGGTGGAGTACTACACGCGGCCATGCTATGGTAGACTACTTGCTCGTGGTGTTTCGGGACAGAAGCTTACCAGGGAGGCCAGAGCGGTGGCCTTCCAGCATTGCACCGAGGTAGACGCAGCTTGTTGCCACCCCCGTCTTTTGCGACAGAAGTTGATGGACTTGGATGCTTGGTCAGATGCCAAGTATATACGTCATGCTATCTCGCTTCATCAAGAACTACAAGTCGTGGCGTCAGTGTATCGCCGACTACATGGACATCTCATTGGATGATGCCAAAGTCGAGCTTATCAGGCTGTTTTAGGGAGGCAAGCCTACCTGTAGCATTCCATTTCTCCTGAAGCTATGCTCGGAGATTCAGCTCGCAGCACAGGTGATCGTTCATCATGAGAGTTCACGACGCTGGCAACAGTTATACTCGGATCGCCGCAATCCTGAGTTTTCCCGTCTATCTGGGATACTTTCCTTTGATGAGGCCAGTATGCTTGCAGAGGTGTCCAGTTTGATGGGAGACTCCATGTGTGTCTTGCTCTTCGACGGTGGCTACATCAGGTGTCGTGACCTACATGATGACGTTGCCTTGCATCATGCTTTGGAGACTGAAGATTCTCGTGTCGGTACACAGATTCGCCGATGGGGACCCTTGACCACTAACTCTCTGCCTCGACTTCTTGTGCATCGTGGTCTCGCGCAATTCTACCGCACACAGGATGTAGTGGACTATGGGAACTGTCTTCTCACTTCACTCTACTACATGGAGCACGAGTGTGATTTGGGTGAACTCACCGAGAATGAGCTTGACGATGGCATCTCGGCCAGAGAGTTCAATTTGTACTCATTGCACTGTTCACAGAGGGATGAGAACGCAGTGCATGCTTTGAAGTGGCTACCTGATGGTTTTCGACCTGATGATGCTACAAATGGTGCAGTCTATGTGTTCCATGAACAGTCGAGCCCAGGAGTAGTCGGTCATTGGTGGACTGCTAAAATCTGTGGGGAAACGGAAATAGCGGTTTTTGACTCCACAGCTCCAGAATGTCTCATGGGTGCCAAGATCGTGGATTTTCAGACTATCCTGGAGGAGATCGACGGTATGAATGCTTTCCTACTCATTTTGACGACGGCGACTGAACCGGTAGACATGCCTCTTCACTCCGCGTACGATCTGCGAGGTGCATGTCCACCCGATACAGATGCAAATACTCTTTACATCACCACTCCAATCCGAGCTTGCGTGGAATGCAGTTCTCCTTTGGCGCCGGCTCATGAAGTGGCAGGACGCGTCTACACATTGAGCGGATTGCGGCAAGTGGTGGTTACAACAAAACGCTGCTCGAGGAAAAGCTGTCGCGCACACCATCACTACAATTACAGAAAGGTCGACGGTCAAAAGTACCACAGTCTGCCTTTGGAAGACCTGGAGTACCTCTTCGTGAACAGCAAAGTAGGATTCGAACGCACCTTCTTGGACTATCACGACGCGCTTCAGTTCCGCGGAGGCATCAGTCACAATGCCATCGAGTTCGCGCAGTCGCAAACACTTTGGGAAGACGCAGAACAGCATTACAGATGGCATCGTGAGTACGCGAGTGCGCAGCTCTACTACTCCGTCATCTTGGAAAGCACTGAGATGTGGGGCAATTCCACAGCAACCATGAGACGTCGAATCTTCAACATTGAGATCGACGACCCGCTGTCGAACGACTTCTTGACTGAATACCAGGACTGGTGGCACAAACATCAGCTTTCTAGAGTCGAATGGCAAAAGGTCACCGAAGTGGTGATGGATGGCCATGAGAAAGTCGCCGCAAAATGACCCGGAATTCCGCTAGCTCGCGCCGGTCGCCCACGCAAAGACGGTCAGACTCCGCAGCGACAGAATGGCTGGTTCATGGCCATTGACCCAGGGAGCGGCCTTATCCTTTCTGTCACGAACATGTTGGAGCCGGAGAATAACGAGGTTGCGAAGGCAGTCCTGAACAAAGTTATATCTCGTGCTTCCAATTTGAACTGTGTCATTTACGACAAGATGTGCGTTTGTCAGAAAGCCTTCAGTTCCGACCAGAACTTCGCGAAAGTGAAGTATTGGTGCGTAGATCGCTTCCATGCAAAAGCTCACGGTGATCGTTGCCCATGCTCGCCTTTGCTTCATCGCCGACTTGATCTTCGATTGCGTGATGTCAACACCTCGATTGCAGAACAGACGTTCTCGTGGTTCCGCGGATATGCCTCCAGTTTCAACACCAAGAACGCAGACACACACATCTTCTATGTCCTGCTGTATGTCAAAAAGCACAATCTCCTTGTCCGCAAAGACTACATTCGCCACCTGAATCCCTTCAGTGCTCGGGCCAAGGCATCCAAGTCTCGCCATGTTCTGACGCGTCCATCGTCCAAGAAGTATCATTGTCGTCGCCCTGCTGCCTCCGGTCGTGCTGGTGTCGTCTACAAGAAGCCGTCCAAGAAAGTGAGGAAAAATCACATCAAGCAGAAGTGAGAGAGATTTTACGGAGCGCAGAAAGATTTTGTTCAGAGAGAATTGTAGCAAAGATGTTACAGTTGTATGGCATAGTATATTTTCAATGTGGTGTTAGTCCAGAGCTCTAGGTGCAGGCAAGCTACACGCAGCTCGCATCGCATGCAGAGAGATATGTTGTTATAGTAGTAGTACTAGAGGAAATGTTGGGAAATCACATATGTGCAAATCGTTTCGAAAATATCAGAAGAGGATCTCTCTGTAGCGACACTGCCTAAGACCCGCAACCGCTGAGACTGATGCGTCATGAAAGCAACGATCCACTCAGTTGCCTTTACACAATGCCTCTGTTAGCTGTCTTATGCAGAATAAGAAATATTTAGAAAAATAACACATGATGTTGCCGGCTAAGGTCATGCGCTCAGAGTGACACTGCCTCGACGTTAGCTTGCTGTATGTGCGTATTAGCTCTATATAGAAGGCCTGTGTTTTTCTATCCAAATGTAAACAGTTGCATGACAAGTTATATAAATCAAGAAAAACACGTAGTTTAGTACGAAAAACACAGGCCTGTATTCCGACGCACTCTCTATATATATATATATATAATATATATATATAATATATATATATATATATATATATATACTTTATATTAATTTATCTATATATATATATATAATATCGATCCCTATATGAAACCTAATACGGGTTATTCGGGTTCCCTGTTTAGAAGAATAGCCTGGCCCGAGTCCTCGATCTGCATTTGTTTATAATTGCATCATAGTTTAGCTCGAAGTTGGCTTCTGCATGGGCCTCCTGTAGCTAGCCGTTGTGTGTGTGTGTGTGTGTGTGTGTGTGTGTGTGTTATAAGTCTATAGAATACACCCACAATGCAAGTCAGCGGCCGGGCTCTTTGATTTGCTCCCAATAATGCCCTCAGACCCGCAGCGCCGAATCCTAGAGATCCTGCAGGTAGCGGGTGAGTGTTCATAGATAATATATATGTAAAATATATAATACATAAAATATCATATATATAATATAGAACCTTTATATCGGATATACTGTTTTTAAATGATTGTATAAACAATATTATATATATATATATATATATATATATCATGCATAAGCAGCTCTAATCAAAAAAATGTATATGCTGTACACATGTATATACTAGTCTATAGTATATTCATTCATTCAGACTATAGATATGTAAATCATATATGGATGGTATTCGGTGTCCATTGGAAACCCCAGACTTACCTGGCTTCCAACCTGCACACCACGACTTCTCTTTCTCCTGAATTGGGCTGAGCCTAGAATAGGAAATAGCAGTCTACCACTCTTAGTCCGAACCTATGTAGATTCGAGGAACATACATATAATCTATATGTTGAGTGAGAGCTTATTGCTCCCGGACAAAAATATGCTGGATCATAAATGCTCCCGGAATCTTTGTTGGGTCGTACATTATATATATATATATATATATATATATATAAAATGTACGACCCAACAAAGATTCCGGGAGCATTTATGATCCAACATATTTTTGTCCGGACCCCTATATAATTTAATTGTATACCACGAGAAACCGAGTTGTCTAGGTATCGGTTAAATATAGACCTGTTTAGCACGGTGTCTGATTCAGGCCCAGTCGCTTTTGCTACATATAGCTAACCCAAGCCCATCCCCTGCCAGTCCTTAAACTATATAGATTTACGACCCCGCGGAAGTATAGGAGGCAGCCTTGCTACTGACCTTTGGCAGGTCGACGAGGATGGTCCGATCGCCACCACACCCCTTCCTGAACTCTTCGAAAGCCTGAGCTGGGAGAATCGGTGGGAAGAAGCTGAGATTGAGGAAATCATTTTGTATCTTCGTACGGCTAGAGCAGTAACTGTTCCGCCCGAGTTCAAGAAACTCATTCCCAAATACCATTTTCTCTGATGGTGCAAGGCTAGGGTGTTCCGGGGTCCACGTATTCAGAGTTATGCTGTGTTTCTATAGGGGATGCAGTAGACTAGTGAGAGGATGCTACACTGTACTTAAATTAAGTAACACGAGGTTCTGTTACTGTTCTATGAGATCACAGGTCACATGCAAGCGTGCAGTGCTCGGAACCGCAGAGGCCAGATGCAATAGGTGTCGTGCACCAATTACAGTGTTTTTGGACACTGTCCCATGGCTTGATTCAAAGTTACTGTTGCATGTGAACCGAGAACCTTACATCAAACAGGGCCCGCATGTAGCACAATCCAGGCCTTAAGCCCCGAAACCTGGAACACTTGTATAGGACTCGATCGGGTTCTGTCGAATCAGATCAGGCTATGGGACCCCATAGTATAGACCCTAGATCAGGCTATGGGACCCCAAGTGCACGGGCCATTCTTCATGGGAGCCCAGCAATATACCACGCCAAAGAGAGTCCGTAATCCGTCCAGCAGGGCAAGATTAAGCACGATTTGGTGGCTCCCGCGAAGGCGTCGGGCCCAGTTAGCGCGCTTTTCTAGAGCAATTCGAGAGCAGATTCGTGGAAGTGCGAAAACCGGCCCCAAAACAATTGCGGGAATTGGCGTCCAAATGGCGTCAATTGGCGTCCAAATGGCGTCAATTGGCGTCCAGCCCTCCGAAGGCATTTTCGAGCCCTCCGAAGGCATTTTCTCAAGATGAGTGCCTCTAGCTTAGGGACCCGTGGACACTCCACGGCAACCCTTGACCGTGGAAGTGACATTCTAGATGGTATCGCCCGAATAGGTGTAGTCAAGGAAGAGAGCCCCGAAGATGAGGCGGAGATTCTCAAACAAATACAGGCCAGAAGTGCTGTCTCGTTGGGGCCAATCATACTTATAGCATGCAATATGAACGCAAAATCTTGATAGCAGAGGCTCGCCCAAGCCCCATATCACTGATCAGCCGCAGGGGTTGAGCGAGAAGATGGATCAGTTGAAGAGGGCGAAGGCGGGCCATTTACCTAAAGCTGGTTGGCTAGGCTTTTAACTCTTGCCCTCGATAAGTGCCGATTCCCTACACTGCATAGGTACATTACAAGAGAGTTAAATTCACCCTATAGGTCCAGTCTTGGTTGATGTCGATCACAGGATAGGCTGGTTTTGGTGTTTTGGGTTTGGGAGCCTTTCTCTGTAGGCTGCTTTTGGTTTGGGAGCTTTGCGGTTCTAGTGTACCCGGCCGGTTTGAAGTTCGGAGCAAGTAGATTGATTAATCTGTTGCAGATTTAAGGTGGGATGGCTAAGCAATATATGAATTATAGATATATGGGGTCTGGGGTTTTAGGGCTTGGGGTTTTTATGGTCCTGACGATATCGGGCTTGCAGTCCTACCTGCATCCCGCTGGACATTCGAACCAGGGTGGTCTCAAACCTCGTCGGTTCAACTATATAGGGCATATACTCATGTGCATGTACAATCATTAATGATATATATATATATATATTATATTATATATATATATATATATATTTATTTATATTAAATACACAACCTATATATATATACAGATATGATATTATAATAATATATATATATATATATATATATATATATATAATACATGAGTATAATATATATATATATATATATATATATATATACAACATACATATTTTGTGCATGACATATTTGTGTCGGTTATCCTGAGCATATTGCAGCATGTCACACATGCATGTGTCCACCAGGAACTGAAACAACATCACACATGTTCCTTCGCAACCTGAACCGAAATCTCAAATCCTAAGCCGACCCTCGGCATATGGTATGAGTTGTATAATCGTCTGTAATCCCGGCAAGACTTCTCTGTACGGTTCCCATATCGGAACCCATAGCCTGAACAGACCTATATCGGGAACTCCAGGACAGCTCGATCGTAATCTACAGCACATATAGTTTTACAGTGGGCCGCACATTCAGCACCATATAGCTGAAACTATTAAATACTATACTGTAATGTGAAACAGTAAAAGTCCGTTCGAAGTTCAACACACCTCATAGACGAAACAACCGCATATTATAATATATATATATATATGTATTATATACCCAATAAAGCCATCGATCCCAAATCCCTGTACACCCGTTCCTTTAAATCCTTCTGAAACCTCACACCCTAAATCCCAAATGCCCCGGTCTAGTGAAACGGACTGAACCCTAAACACCCATTCCTTCTGTACCCTGCACCCTAAACCCTGGCCCTCCCTTCTCTAAAACCGCAGGAAGCCGGTGGATGCAGCCCGGCCCCGTCATCATCGACCGGAGGCATGCAGTGGCGCAACCTAAGCCATCATTCAGATTTTAATTGGGGTTTCTGAAGTGCTGCTAATATAACCATGCAGGCGAAGCAAAGTGTACCGAAGCTCAAGAGACGCAGATGGATGATGCAGGAGCTGAAGAGGAGCGGGAAGCCCAGAAGAAACACAAGGAACTCGCCGAGGCACGAGCAGCAGAGGAAGCCGGGAAGCAACGACAGGAACAAGCAGCAGCGGCAGCCAGGGAGAAACAAGAGGAACTCGCCAAGGCAGCAGAGGAAGTCAAGAAGAGACAAGAGGAACTCACCAAGGCACAAGCAGCAGAGGAAGCCAGGAAGAAGCAAGAGGAACTCGCCAAGGCACTAGCAGAGGAAGCCAAGAAGAAACAAGAGGAACTCGCCAAGGCAGCAGCAGAGGAAGCCAGGAAGAAACAAGAGGAACTCGCCACACTAGCAGCAGAGGAAGCCAGGAAGAAACAAAAGGAACTCGCCGAGGCACAAGCAGAGGAAGCCAGAAAGAAACAAGAGGAACTCGCCAAGGCAGCAGCAGAGGAAGCCAAGAAGAAACAAAAGGAACTCGCCGAGGCACAAGCAGCAGAGGAAGCCAAGAAGAAACAAAAGGAACTCGCCGAGGCACAAGCAAGAGCAGCGGAAGCCAGGGAGAAACAAGAGGAACTCGCCAAGGCACAAGCAGCAGAGGAAGCCAGGAAGAAACAAGAGGAACTCGCCAAGGCACAAGCAGCAGAGGAAGCCAGGGAGAAGCAAGAGGAACTCGCCAAGGCACAAGCAGAGGAAGCCAAGAAGAAACAAGAGGAGCTCGCCAAGGCAGCAGCAGAGGAAGCCAGGAAGAAACAAGAGGAACTCGCCACACTAGCAGCAGAGGAAGCCAGGAAGAAACAAGAGGAACTCGCCGAGGCACAAGCAGCAGAGGAAACCAGGAAGCAGCAAGAGGAACTCGCTTCGTTGCGACGCAAGAAGGAACAGCTGGAGATGGCTCTGCGAGAAGTGGACAGGTTGAATCAGCAGCTGCAGCAAGGGACCCAAGATGCTGACGAGACCATGCAGTCGTTGCAGGAGCCACGGATGCCAGGACCCTGTAAGAACGAAACACCAAGCCCAAAACCGCAGCTACTTGGAGGAGCATCCATGCCCAGTAACGCCAGCTTGACAACTACGCAAAGCGAGAGCTCACAACACAGCCAGGACGCCCAGGACCCATGGGCAATTCAACCCCAGCGATTGTTCCAATCTCCGTCCGTGGCAAGCAAAAGCCCCGGCACCAGCACACCCCAGGCCCTGCCCCGAACGCCGGCAACTGCAACAAAAGCAAAGTCGCCAGCTGCTGCAGCAACCGCAGCAGCACCTGCACCCAAGGCCAAACACGTGGCCAGCCCTCCACCTGTTTCAACTGCAGCAATCAACAAGCGGCTCTCCAGAGCCATGGAACCGACGTCAAAGGGTGTCTTCAGGGTCGCAGAAAGCATCCGCAAGCAGTGGCAAGCAGGAGGTGCCAGCAAGGAAGGTGTGATCCGGCTTTTCGCTGCAGTGGGCTTCGATACGGACTGCCATGCCCTAATTCCCCATAATATATATACCATTATATAATTTGAATATATATTAAGGCACCTTGAATCTTAATGTTTTGAACCTCCAGCCTATACTGCAGGAAAGCTTTGTCCGGAAGTATTCCGCAACTACTGAGAATTCCCGGGAAATGGAAGTGGCAGTGGACTTCGAGTTCTTAACGAAGAAGGAAATGGCTGATGATCACAATATGACGGAGAACCTCAAGCTTCATTTAACATACCTATATAGGATGATCAACCATCCCTCTCAGGGCTTGTGTAAAGTGTGTTGATGCTATGTATACGATGTATTTAAAAGCATGCCCCAATCCAGAAGCCAAGGAGCGATATCGCAGAAGTTGTGGCTGCTGCCGAAGTCGATCCTGGACGCTTTATTCGGTTCCGTGGCGGCAAATTTACTCAACAGGGGCTGGTCGAGCTTTGATGAGATTTTACATCACGAGGAAGCATCCCTTCAAAAAGGGTGTGCTGAAGTACTACACCGTGCTGAAAATCTATGGTCACAAAAAGAGCCTTTGCTGCAAACCCTATAGCAACCCCATGCAAGACCCTAGAAACCCTGAGCGCTTAAATCTCCGTCGACCCACCCTGCATCCCTATGTAAGCCTATACACAAACCCTAAAACCCCTAAACCTTCTATCTTGTCAGGGCGACGACCAAAGTGACGGTCAAGGATGAATGTGAAGGCCTCGCCAATACGGATCGTATTGATGTGGATGTGGACATGGATGCAACCCTGAATGAAGCTCATGGTGACTTAACCTAATACAGATCGGTTTGCTGGTGCAGACGGGATGCTGCCATGCCCCCATGCAAGCATAGTGTAGCACACCTCAGCTAAGGAGAGACGCCGGCAAATCTTATAGATGCCGGTGATGGTGTGTCACGTCAGCCGGCCAGCGAAGAGCTTTCCAAATTGCTGAAAAGGTTTCAATACCCTGAAATCCAGGAAGCTGCGAAGCCCTCGACCCTGCTCGCCAAAGCCATTCTTGCATGCCAGAAACGGCTGAAGAAGCTCGAGGAGCTCATGCCCGATGACAAACCCCCGCCCCCAGAAGAGAACGTCGATGACTCTGCTGGGAAAGGATCTGTAGTGCAAAGGTCTGGCCCCCAGGTTACCCAATAATGTGTGATTTGCTGAAAGTGAGTTACGATATCCCCATATATGGTTTTTAAGTAGATCCTATATAGTGATCAGGATGACCTCCAAGCTGCTGAAGATGTACACTCAGCTGGATGAGTCGTGCGACCGATTGATCCAATGCCAGACTGATGGAGTGGTTGATGGCTATGACGACGAGCTCTCTGGTCGCATGTGATACCACATATGCAATATACGTATACACATGCATGCATATGCAGTATACATGTATATACACTGCAATACTATATATGCATGTCCCCAAGGACGGAAGCGGAGATCGATGTTATTCTTGGGAAATGCAGAAAGCTGCTGCATGCCTGCAAGATACAGATCAGCTGCATGCATGTGTGCATGAATGTATGTTGGATGCTAGCATGCATGAGCACAATAACTGAGGGTGATCGAAGCGGGTGAGCTGGAGACTCGTGCCAGGACATGGGCACAGTGCAACTCTCAGGGATTCAATCATTCTATGCTTAATGTTAAGCCCTGGAAAGCCCTAAGCCCTAAAACCCATCGAGGCTATGCATCTATATAACCCTATAAAGCTCTTGCTTCCTAAACCCATCTAGGATATGTAGATCCGAAACCCGAGATTACACACAAATAATCCTATATAGGCAAATATAACTTCAATGCAAATTTAGTGCCAGGCTGATGTGGGCCCGTTCAACGAATCAAAATCATAGTATTCTTGCTTACAAAGTCTCCAGAAACCGAGAAGCCTCGACCCTGCCTCTGCATACAACCTAATCTATACTCAACCAATCCCCAAACCCGAGACCAATCCAAGAATGTATTTTGGCAGGAGTGTGTTACCGAAAGCACCGCTGCCGACGCCCAAAACCCATCCTCGGGTCAAGGCCCCTGCAAAGCGCGGCTTGGAAAAGGCTCCAGCGCCGAAGCCGCCTCCGGCTAAACGTCCCAAAGCCAAGGCTAGCTAAAAGGCTGGAGAGATCTGGAAAGGGGCTGAGCTTAGGTGCAGCCATGTAGTGTGCAACTCTTAACTAGAATGTAATCCAAAATAATCCGTATGATCCGGATCTGAAGGCCTGTGGCTGGGGCTGTTCATGTTTTCACGCAAGGGGACAAACCCCATGCAAGTGCACCGTGCATTTTGAGTGGCCCAATCAGTCGGTATGAACCATGGACCCAAAAGTCTTCATTATGTGCAGTGCATGCAAGCTTGAAACAGATATCGGTATCTAGCTAGGCTCATCTCCTTGCATGGGTGGATGGCAGGTGCTGATCCAAAGCCAAGCCATACACTACGTGCATTGGCTGAACGTGTGGCCGACGGTGTGCATGACTCAGTCGGTTTGAGATTCACGGTCATTGCTAGATTATAAGTCAAGGCTATAATTAAGCTGCGATCGATGGCAATTCGAAACCTTGTTCATGTATCTTCCAAATTAGACCCAAATTAAACCCAGAAGTAAACTACACCAGCCTGGTGACACAACAAAAACCCGAAAACTCCAAAAACCTTAGCCCCAGAAGCTTCCATCTACATATGTCGACACTAGATCCCAATAATATTCCTCCCAAGAACTTAATTGTGACAAGCCCAACGTGCAATCCTCGTAGCCAAATTTCGTGCTACACCCCAATATTACGAGGAAGACCATATACGCAAACCCCGACCCCGAAACGTGCGAAGCCGAAAATACACACGTCAGCTGCTTGCCAAGGCCCAAACTAAAGTTTATACTAGAATATTCAGACAAAGCCCACTCGAAACACCAACCCCCAACTCCTGTATCTATGCAATATATTGCATAGAAATCGGCTTATTTGATGCTATCTAGCAAGCATGAACCCTAGACGGGCAGTCCTGTATTATAACCCGTGCAATTGTAATTATATTCCTTAAGGTTGTGCCCATGCAAATTCTGAGCTCTGAAACACCATCGTGCATCACATAAGCCATATACATCAATCCGCAAAAATTATATACCATGAACAGCCTATTGTATCCAAGTTCCAACAACAACCTATAACACCCCGCCTCCAAAACAACCATAAACCCACTCTCATCCAGGCTCCAGCTTGCATCGTCGGGGAAGTGTCGCAGGCTGCGATGTCTGATGGGGCTAGGATCGGAAGCTTGAGGGATGGGGCTAAGATCGACAAGAATCATTCAGAGAGAAATGCCCATCGGCTGTTCAACAAGTACGGACTAGCCCTCAGAGTCCCGATATCTTCTTTAGAAGTTCCAGCCACTGCTGGCTCTGGGGGGCAAGACCACGCAAGTGTGCCACACCTTAGGCTTACTGACATGCTGGGCCATCTACTCAATCATCATGAAGAAGTACTGTTCGGTGGCCTTAGATTTGGCAATGCTGCTGAAAACCTTCTTTCGGAGTTTTGGGCACGCTTCCAGAGCCATCAGAAGGACCACATGATTTTCGAGTCCATTCCGGAATCAGAGCGGTGTCGATGTGTTCCTATAATGATCCATGGGGATAAGGGTAGGACGCTCCAGAAAACCCCGATCATGGTCCTCAATTTCGAGCTGGCGCACGGTTTACCTCCCGACCTAACACGTAAGTGCTCATATGATTGCAAGAGGAACACACGACAACACTTTGACAGTACGTTGCGATGGACCTGTGCAAGGCGAGCCTCCGCAAAGCGGAAGTTTGCAGAGATGAGCTTCAGTGAGTGTCCTAGGGAGTGCCCTGGGAAATGCTTTGATCATGCATCTGCTGGTAGTCATCATCGTCACAACAACAAAGGGCATTCCTACCTTAGCCGTTTCTTGATTGCTGCTGTGCCTTCAAAGCTTTACAAGAAGAACGACGGTGTTATGCCCGGCCTTTTGAAGATGATAGCCCAGCAGCTGCAGGTGTTGTTCGAGGAAGGCCTCGTGCACAGCAAGTCTGGGTCACGGCTGAAGTTTGTTTTTATAGGCGTCAAAGGCGACGCCGAGTGGCATTGGGAGGCCGCTGGCTTCACAAGAAGCTACCACAAGACTGGCTCAGTGAACTACAAATGCATATGCCCATATTGCCTTGCTGGTGCAGAAGGCTACAGCTATACTGATGTCAGTGACTCCCCAGCCTGGCTGCAGACAGTCGGTGTCACCGATCCGTGGGACGCGACGCCGCCGCTGAACGAAGTGCCCTACGCATCAACATTCGCTGCAGGCCTCTACAAGCTAGATGTCTTCCATGTTCTAAAGTTCGGAGTATTTCGGGACACCGTAGGTTCTTCGATCGTCAGACTGGCTTTTATGAGGTATTGGGACACGGATGATGTTACCGAATCTTGTGGAGTGCCGGAGCGGCTGAATCGTGCGTTTGCTTACTACTCCATGTGGTGTCTTGCCCAAGGAAAAAATCACACATTGAAGCGCTTCTCTCGTGCCAACATGTCTTACGACAAGAACCACCACTTTGCAGAGGTGCATGCCAAAGGCAGTGAAGTCATCCTCTTAATGACATGGCTGAGTTTTCAGCTGGACCTCTTTCTGCGGGAGCCAAAGGATGCCGGAGATGTACCCATTCTCAAGGTGATGAAGCAAATGTTGGATGGCGGCTTGACGTATGTGGGAATCATGCATAGTCACGGCACCTGGCTACCGCACTCGTGTGCATGCCTGCAGTTGGACGCTGGCATGTGCTTTGCTCGTGGGTATGCTTTCCTGGCGAATCATTGCACAGCTTTGAAGGTGCCAGGGTACCGGCTACGGCCGAAACTCCATTATTATATGCACGTACTTCTGGACCTGAAAAGCCGTGTTGATGCCAACGACCGCTGGATTATGAACTCAAGTTTGTACCTTTGCGAACAAAATGAAGACTTTATAGGTCGACATGCCCGCATTTCCCGTAGGGTTCATCCATCGACAGCTGCAATGAGGACTGTGCAGCGGTACCTTGTGAAGGTGCGCCTTTTGTTGGAGCGGCTCCAAAAACCCGATAAAACCTGATATCTTGCGACTTATATAGGCCGTAGTGCAAGTTTTTAAGGAGCTGTTCCAGGAGTCTACAGAGGGCTTGAGCTACCGAACAGTCGACTGCTGTGCTTTACCGAGAAAAGAGAGGCAATCGGCGATTGCACTTTTTGCAAACAATTCCTTTTTTGGTCTGAGATTGCGTTTATTTGTGTAGTTTCAAACAGTGCCTGAAATAAAGCGGGGGCGGGTTGTCTAGGTATGGATGTAGATGTGGACATATCGAGAAAATCCTGGTTTTCCACCCTTAAAACTAGATACAAGATTGGTTTTTATACTAGGGAAATATAAACAAACTAGAAGTTTTCCTATGGGAACGTAGGCAACTCCCCCCTAAACCCGAAACCCGGGAACGTAGGGAACTCGCCTCCCCCCTAAACCCTAAACCCTAAACCAGAGGCACATTTTCATGTGGGAAATGTTGGTTTTTCCCGGGAAACACCTAGAAAACGAACCAAAAACAAAGCAATGAGTTAATCTCATGAAAAGATATAAGAAATTATGTTTTTCCGTGGAAAACCAAGTAAACGAATCAAAACGCAAGAACTCATAGGAACTCCTTCAAAAAGTGGTATTAATCTTACGAAGCTATACAATGTTGGTTTTCCTAGGAAAAACCAAGACAACGAACCAAAGAACAACAATGAACACCAAAGAAAGAGAAATAAGATAAATGCTCCCAAAACAACTTCACTCGTTTGTTTTCCTGCGTAAACGTAGAAGTAAACATAATCAAATACAGGTGTATGGATGTAGATGTGGACATATCGAGAAAATCCTGGTTTTCCACTTGAAAACTAGATACAAGATTGGTTTTATACTAGGGAAATATAAACAAACTAGAAGTTTTCCTATGGGAACGTAGGGAACTCCCCCCTAAACCCGAAACCCGGGAACGTAGGGAACTCCCCCCTTACACCCGAAACCCCTAGCCCCGCCCCCACCCCCCCCCCCCAAAAAAAAAAAATAAAAAGGCAAAAAATAAAAAATAAAAGGGTCAAAAACAAATCTCCACCCCTAGGTAAGCGTTTGGGGCATTATATTTCCCAAATAATGTTGCTTAAAGCTTATTTAAGGCCTTAAGCCCTCAACCGTTAACCCCCCTCCTGTTTTCCGAAGCCTGCCAGCGCAGGAAGCTGAGTTGGTTGGAGTTTGGAGTTCGGGGTTAGGGTGCAGGGTTTCGGGCTAAGGGCGTGCGCGTCAGGAAGGAGCGACTTGAAGTCTTAAGCCACCGAAGCTGTGGTCAGAGCGAGGTCAGTGAGAACAAATATAGTTTCCAAGCAAGGTTGGGGCATCGAATTGGCATCAATCACTGGATGACCCTAGAATCACCACTCATACAAATAGCACACACACACACTAAACCCTAAACCATAACTTTTGCAGCTTTTGCCCTAAAGCCTAAACCCAACTAGAGGGAAGCCCGCCAGCGAGTTAGCAGGAGCTAGCAGAGAGGAGCAATGAGCTTGAGGTGGCTGCTTGCATGCTTTTGGATCCTTAAGGGTCCAAAGGACCCAATAATTAAGTATTCTGTTTTAGGATAGTAGTTATGTAGGTTAGGATTTCGGAGAGTATATGATTATGGATGAGCTTTTCCACATGTCCTTAAGACGGACATTTGTGCTTCAATGTGCTTCAGGACCTTAGGTGGGCGAGCATCGGGGTTGTGCGATGGTTTCAGGGCTATTACGAAGGACCGGACAGACGTAGATTCAGGGGTCTACCCCAGACCCTGATGAGTTTGAGGACAGTGGCTCTACAGTAGAAGCCAGAAAGTTGGAATATCATTATCGTAACCCCTTTAAGGTAAATTATAGAGGATCCTACCTTTAATCCATATTCCAACTTTCTGGAGTTCCCTTTAAGGGTGCACCTACCTAGTCACATGTCGTCCCCAAAATTTCGGTTTAGGGTTAGCCAACTATTGGGTCCTTGCGACACGTAAACCCGATAAGCCCTACATACTAATCCCTTACCCCCGAAACCCTAAACCCCGAAACCCTGAACCCCTAGGCCCCTACTGTAGGCCAAGAACCCCGAACCCACGACCCCTAAACCATCCTAAACCCCGAAACCCTAAACCCCTACACCCTCAAGCCCTAAAATCCCTAAAACCTAAACCTTCTCATGCGGTTCTCCTGGCAATACATCTTGGTTCGGTTTTTCGTTCAGGGTGTCGGCCTTAGGGTCCAACCTTATCCTCAGGCTCTCAGAGATGTCGATATGTTCGTGCCCTCATTCCTAAAGTTATCTTGATTCCTTAAATCCTAAACCCTGTAGTGGGATCCTCAGAACTTCATGTCACATGCCATCCATCTCGAAGCTTTCTCTGTGACGCTGACATTGCAACGGAGTTCACAGGACCAGTTTTTGAGACTCACATTGAGGGCCCGGGTTAAGAAGCTTCAGGGTCAGGCGTTTGGGGCTCACGGTTTATAGGGTTTGGTGCCGGTGGCGGTCCGATGATTGCTGACGAACCAGCTAAACCCTATGAAGCTTAAATTTGGACAGGCCCCGATCTAGCCGCCTGTGGCCGAACGCAGACAAATCCAAGGAGAACACGCTTCCCATTGCTATGGCTTTTGAGCATCTGCGCGCTGAGCACCTCAGCTGAAGACATAGCCCCTCGACCCAGAACCCTACACCCTATCTAATTCCTTTTCGGGTCCCAAACAGTAGCGTGTGACATTTCGGTGCCGATTCAAGCGCTCCGGGGCCTTCTAGTACCGTTGGGAGCTTGAGAGATGCAAGGGCCGCAAGGGCTCTTTCCCCGAGGCGGGTTTAGGGCTTAGGAGTCTAGGGAGTTTAGGTTGGGTTGACGGATGCTTGGGCTATGGAGATGGAAACACCGCTTCAGCAAATTGTGTTGTTTGCTTGTGCGCTGCTATACTTTTAAATGTTTGTTTGTGGACGTTAGGTTGGGCTGTTTTGGGCTGAGCTTGTTCTGATCTGATGTTGTGACAACATGTCGCGACAACCTGCCCCACTTCGAAATCACCCGCAATGCAGAATTTTCCAAGTGTTTCCCAGACCGGCTGCTGACTTGCTCAGCTTCAAACCGCTGATGATTCGATGGTGTGGAGCCGTGCAAAGCAATCTCGAGTGGCTCTCCCCACTGAACCCTAAACCCCTATTAATTATAGGGGCCCAAATAATTGTCTACACTATTTTGGGGGTTCCTTATTATGATTGTAGTATACTGGGCGCCAAAACCCTATCCTAATTCTTAAGGCCCCTTCATTAAACCCTAAATCCCAGAGCTCACTTCTGACAGGTCTACAGAGCACTGATGTAGAGTGCTGTAAGAAGCATGTCGCACAGAACGCGATCACATGCTAGCTGCTCCTAAACTGGAAGCCTTCCACTTGTCTCGAGAACTTTCAGCCACTAAGCCCTCTTTCAGTACTTAAGGTCTCCAGGGCTAAGGTGAGGGCTAGGGGACATTCAAAAGCCTTGAGCCAATACAACGATCCGCGGTCAGCATGTTGCCCAAAACCTTGCGATCAGGTACCGGACCGTCTACGACGATCTCGTTGTCTCTATGAAGTCACGCTACCCCGACTTCGCCCCAACATTTGTCTTCAACAAGAAGAAACGTCCTTTGGCAGTTTGCGTTAACGCAGCAAGGCCAACAAGATCCTCTGAGCAGACAAAACCCCAGACACAGACCCTAAATCCTGCAAGCCCCAAAATCTAAATCCTATATGACCTCTACTCTGCATCCTCCCTCAAATCTGAAGCCTATATACCCTATAATTACTATACATCCTCGATCCTAAACCAATGGCCGAAATCCTGCAAACCTCAGCCTGCTACATCCCTAAGTCCTGCAACTGTAAGCCCTCACCCCCCAAAAACCTCGAAAGCCCTGAACAGAATAAACCCTAAACCCATGAATGTTTTCGTCTCAGACACAATGGTCCAGGATTGAGGCTGCCCCTGGTGTTATCAGAAGCAGGTGTAATGATTATGCAGTTTGGGGTTTTGGGTGTCATCGAACACATGGACTGCTTTAGAGTTTGGGGTTTAGGGTGTAATTTAGGGCTTGAGTGTAAACTCACCGCTTCTACACTGCTTTGCTGAAGCAGTCGTGCAACATACCAGGCAACCTCTCCTAGTTATTAAGGCCCCTATACTAGAGGCCCCCCCGATGCCATTAGTGTAGTGCCTTGGTAGATTCGGGGCTGTATTGCCGTTATGAGGCTACCTGCCCCGAAGTCCCAAACCCCTAAACGCGGACCACCTTCCCAAATAGGGATTCTGGGATGCATCTGCAGACGACAAATGTGTGCAACAGAACCTAGCCCCTGAAACTTACAGTAAAACATTAGAGGAACCCGTACAGAACTCTTGAAGATATATGAACCCTAAACTAAACCCTAAACGTTGGTTCTACCTCTTTCGGTGGTGCTCTTGCTCTGTGATTCAGCCTGGCTTGCGTCACAGAGTTAACTGTTGACTTGGATTCCAGAGAATTCTGGCTAGGATTTTGGATGATGTGCTCCGATGTAGTGGTATGGAGATGGCTTGTATCATCATCGTACGGTCTTGGGCTCGGTTTTTGGAGATCTGGAGCTGTGAGGTTGGATCACAGACTTTGGCGAAGAAAGTGGTGGCACTGAGCCCATTGCCCTATGCAACGACGCCATGCAAACACCTTAACTAATTACCTCCCCGACATCCCCCAATGGACTCAGATCGAGCAAGACGGTACAAGCTCCGTTGCTTTTGAATCCTGAGAAGCCTAAGCCCTAAACCCTGAAGCCTATAATTTGTAGGAAACAACAGAAAGGTTCCATCCGGCGACGAAAACACCCGGAATGGGCCGGAACAGTACCAGCGCCTCGCCCTGAAATGGCCTCAGTTTCGGTTTGGAGGAACTTCGAAGAGTCCCCGGCCTGGAAAACAGGGTTATGTATATATATATATATATATACATACGATGTATGTATGTATGTATGTTTGTTTGTTTGTTTGTTTGTCTGTCTGTCTGTGTGTGTATGTATATGTGTATGTGTCTGCGTATGTGTGCATGTCTGTATGTTCGTATGTTTGTTTGCATATGCATATGTATATGTGTGTGTAACTGTATATGTACATGTTGTATATGTATATGTATATGTATATGTATATGTAGAGGTATATGTATATGTATATTGACTTGACTTGCATGGACATATATGTATACATACATATCACACGAGTATATATCCGTGTCTGTGTTTGAGAAAGAGAGAGACAGAGAGCGAGAGAGAGAGAGAGAGAGAGAGAGAGAGAGAGAGAGAACAAAGAGAGAGAGAGAGAGAGAGAGAGAGAGAGAGAGAGAGAGAGAGAGAGAGTCTGTGTGTGCGTGTGTTGTTCTGTACATCGGCCATTCGGACGCAGGTCCCTCGCAGGAACTGCGACGATGAAGTGGAAACGCCGGCCAGGCTCTGTCGTTGCATTTGCAATTGGATGCCCATCCCTAGAGCGCCCTGAACCCGAACCCCTAAACCCTAAATAGAGTATTCTGCAAAGGGTTCCCTTGCAGAGCATCCTGACATCTGGAATGCACTTTCCCAGAGTATCGGTGAAGTGCCCACCCCCAATACCCCCTGCCGCAAAACATGTCGCAGAGTATCCCTGCAGCGCCAGCCCCCACAGGGCATTTTTCAGGGATGTGTCGGATTCCAGTGTTTAGGCATGTTCAGTTACCAAAGGGTCCTATGTACCGATATAGTAGGACGTAGGGTTTCCATATTAGGAATTACTATTATGACTTAGGGAAATATCCCCCATAACAGTACATCGGACACTTTGGGGTTGGCTTCAAAGGAATACCGTTCTTAACAAGCAGAAGGAGCTTGTCGCCCTATACGACGAAGTTCCACAAACCAGAAAACTCTCCGAACCCTAGACTATACATAGAGTATAAGCCCTACCTTAAGCCGGAATAGCCTACTTTTTTAGGGAATTATATAAAGAAATCATAATAAGGAGCCCTAAAAAGGTAGGTTATTCAGGGTTAAGGTACACCTTAAACTTTTCTGTACTTCAGACCGGTCCCAGCCCTTGCTTTCGACGACCCACGACGTCCAAATGCACTTGGTTTCGATTTTGCTTCCTCCCTCCCTTGCCCCCTTGAACCCTACTAAACCCGAAACTCTAAATCCCCCACCGCACCCCCAGGAGAACTTGAGGGAAGCGAGATACCGAGAGCTGGACTATGCTAAGGAACCTTCCGTCTTGACCTCTGAATCCTAGAAGTAGAGCAGGTAACCTTTAACGCTTTTGGGTACTGCAGGCTCCATACGAAGGTTAACCTTGAAAGACATCCCCAAGGATGCAGCTTACTCTAGATCTTTCCACAAAGAAGCCTGAGGAAGTAGCGACACACAGAAATACTACAGGGCTCTTTCTCCTAATGGTCGTTTCGTGCTGTTTAGGCCCTTAAGCACCCTCGACCCTAAACATACCCTAAGCCCTAAGCCCTAAGCCCTAAACCCTAAACCCTAAACTCTACACCCTAAGACTCTGGGGCCCTAAAGCAAAAAATCCGCAGATCTTCAGGTGAGGCCGAGGCTGGCGACAATGAAAGCGGATGACCCACACAGCTGTGCCGAAGTGCTCCCGCCCTCGTTTAGCTTAAGGGACTGAATGGTCTACAGCAGTTTTTGTTTTTAGGGTTTAGGGTTTAGCGTTAAGAGGTTTAGGGTTAAGGGGTCTGGGGTCTAGGGTGTGGGGTTGAGAGGATTTAGGATTGATCCTTCTCACACAGCCTCATGCATAGCTGCAGATCAGCTCCTGTGTGTAGCCAGACTGCCCTCCAACCCTATCGACCGTCCACCCGATAGTGAGTCAGTGTCTCTTGGGGACCACCCCCAAACCTTAAATCCTCAGCCCTAATTAACCGGCGGGTATGACATTATGGCATGACCTTCGTTGGGTTCGTATCGGAAGCCGTGCCCCAAACTACCCCCACACCCCTTCTCGCCGGACGGCCTCCACGAAGTTCGGAGTTTCGGATAGCACAATCACTCAACCCGAAACCGTCAGAAAGCTGGTGGTTCTTGACGTCTGCGTGGCGCCTAGATGTATAGGATAGCTTATCCAGGTAGTTCTGGACGCAACTATGGCGGGATACGTACAGCGTTGAAGGAATGCTGCTAAACCCTACACTCTCAACCCTAGAATCCTAGAAGCCCTAAGCGCTAATGTGGCGGTCGGTTTAGTGATAGGGTACCCCCCCCCCCCCCGACCAAAACTTTTTGGTCTCTTTAATTTGGTACCGGTAGGCCTGGACAGGGGTCAGGGGTCTGAGTGGCAGGGAATTGGGAGGTGCCGGGGTTTGGGGGGTTGGGTGCAGGGTCTGCGGTTCTGCGCGACTGCGCCGTCGGGGGTCGGGGGGGTCTGGGCCAGCGCCTGAAACCCTAAACCCTGAACCCTAAACCCTAACGAATCCTAAACTCCTAAACCCTATAACAAACCCTAAACCCTAAGCCCTAAACCCTTCCAAAGGGGGGTCGGTCCAGATTCGACCCAAAACTAAATTTTTTATGCAAACTTTAGTACTGGAGAGGCCTCTTTTGAGCTGGGGTCCAATCCCCCCCCCACTAATCAAGGTATACTAGAATA